AATTCGATTTTTTCAAAAGCCGATTAATTGCCAAAATTCGATTTATTGCCCAGCCCTACGTGAACGGTTCACTTTGAGCATGTATGAACTGAACTTGAACTAGTTCAGAAAAGCTGTGAACTGGCACAACACTGGCCAAAGCTTTACTGTCATTGGGCCAGAGCAAAATTAAACAAATGTGACGTCACACGTCGGCTACACAGCCAGGCCAGCCTAGCAGTGCACCCAGTGTAGCTTCCCCGGTTGAAATGAGTGGTCTCTCCAACTGATGGTTCATACACGTTTTTATTTTTCCTTTTATATGAGCTGTAACGATGTGATTTTACCTTACTACTTTTTTAACAATAATTGATTAGCTTGTTATAGTTATACACTAATGAACACTTAGTTCATTGTGTGTGTGTGTCTTTATTCTCACTAAACTCCATAAACGTTACGTTGCTAAGAAACGTACAACAATCCTTAAACGTCCGAGATTATATAAACAGTCAATATAAAAAAAATAAAGAAAACAAAAGTTTTGACAGTCAATCTTAAAACTATTAAAAGAACATCAAAATACAATGACAAAAACCCAAATTTAGAACCTTGTTTGGCCTGAATGGATGAAAAGCTCCCGGCATGAAATGTTGTCCCACTCCGGCCCTGGTTCTTTCACAAGTTTATAATCACTATAGACTATAATGCTGGTCACAGTCCAAGTGTCAGGTGTGCCACAGTTAGTATTAAAATTCCACAGGCGTTACAAGAATAAGAAAAGGCGAGATGGCAGCAGGGTCTGATCCTACATCCTGCCTGAGGATTAAAGAAGCAATATGTAAGGTTTTCATGTCAAGTCATCATTAAAGGGCCCTAATCTGTCAAAAGACACAAACCATACTCTTTCCCAATAGGACTGCTGTCGTTGTGTCCTTGGGCAAGACACTTAACCCCACTTTGCCATAAGCCCCCACTGAAAGATCAAGGCTCTGCTAACACTCAGAGAGCAGCCGTCCTCCTGTGGACTCACCACCTGCAGAGGGTCAGTGAGGGGCTGGTGCTATGAGACTTGGGTGGCATCTCTGACTGCCACCCCCCTGACCCAGAAATGGATTAAAGGGTAGAAAATGGATGGATGGATGGATGGAGTTTCCAAGTGTGCTCTCAGTTCACTTTATATTAAAAATAATGACAAGATTAAGATTAAAATGTATCGTTTAGCCAGTTTTTGTGCGAAATAAAATTTCGGAATAGTATAAATGTGGACCCCTCAAAAAAACCCTTGCCACCCCCTGGCCACCCTCTGTTTAAGAGTCTGGCTCCGCCACTGCCCGTGACCCGGACGGTCCGGGACACATGTCTTCCGTTTGTGCACACGTCGCGCCTCCTCCTCACCTCCAGAGCAACAGCAGCAGCAGCAGCACGTGACCCGTTCCATTCTCTGCAGTGATTGGCTGTCTTCTTCAGCGCCAAACTGAAGCACTGAGCGACTGTTTAATTTTTAAAAGTTAGCCAGCGTGAAGCAAGTGGTTTTTTCCGTTCCCTGAGCGTTGTAGCACGTGAGTAATCAGAGGAAAGTACTGTAGATCTATTACCATTCAAAGTACTTACGTTATTTCTAATCTGTCAGCGCACTGTTTAATGTTCCGAGGAGCTCACACGGCACAGAGACAGAACAGAACTGGCTCCAATAAAGAAACAGGTTGGTTGAAAGGCTGAAAAAATACTTATTTGTGCTCTACTATCCAAAATGTATAAGTGGGTGTGTTGTGTGAATCAGGATAAACTAGGGATGAAAATATTCCACGGATCCACGATTTACAACCTTTATCTGCTGATAATGTAATTTCTGTGAAATGTGTGACAGCGGGCACTTGCTGTTATTTGCTCTAAGCACATTCAAGAGATGCACTCGAATGTGCACGTCCTGGTGCAGCTGCTGCCGCTTTGTAATGACAGCCGCGGCGCTCAGTGAAAGCACAGCTCTAACATGGTACCGAGCTCGGACCATATGCAGACAGAACCATGTTGCAAGTGCGGGTCTCCCTCGTATCTCCCCCGTTTCTCCCCTGTGTCTCTGACATGTCTCTCCCCTGACTCTTCCCAAAGCGCAACCAGCGCTTCCGAAATTAAAGCTCGGATACCTAAATTTTCCATTGCGTTAACGATGCATGCTGGTTGTGCGCAAAACACACCACAACAGGTCGTTTAAGTTTTTATTTTGCATACTTGAGAGCCCTGTGAGTCATTACTTGCCTTTTTGGGTTGAGAGTGGAATAAAAAAAAGAAAATATAGAAAAATCCACACTGTTACTTATTGCCAAACTCTTGTTAACTCATTGTATTGAGAAATACTATGTAACTTTTGACATTGGCCAAGTTATATAAATGATTCTGCAGTTCATGTATATGAATGTCTGTTTTTGATTGTCTATACCTTCTTATATAATTTAGAAAAAATGCCACCTCCACAAAAAAAGATAAAAGATATCAGGAGCTTTTTTAACAGTTGGAAAGTAAGTAAGAGAAAGCACAAGTAATAGCAAATTATGAATTGTGATGATTAATCTTCTGTTAACATACATAGGAAACTCAACCAACAAGAGAGAACAATATAGGGAATGTTGAGGTAGAAACAACAGGCCCTTCAGTGCATCAGGCGAGGTTGGAATTTTGTAGGTATGCATGGGACTATGAATTGTTTTTAGAGATTGATCGTATATGTCAAACAATGTAGTGAGCTACTCACTGTAGATTCTAATTCAATATTTTCTCCTCTGTTTTTATTTATTATAGGAAATTGAAAGATCAGAGCATGATTTATTTCAAGTATCGAGAGCAGTTCCTGAACTGTTAGAGCCTCAGGTGAGGGCTATTATGTAGATTTGGATTAGGTTTAAGTCAGTATAGAATGAACGCAACACAAAACTCAGAAGCTCTGATCCAATTGATTTTGTGTTAACTATTAGAAAAAATCCTTAACTGCTTCTCATTCAGTCTACAGCTGAGTTTAGTATAGAAGGCAACATACTATTGCAAATATAGTGTGTGATCACACAACAAATTCTGGGGGAGAAACTCTGGACCCCGTGTCAATGGGTGTAGACTCAGGTCGTAGTGAATGTCCCCACCAAGATTGGAACCAAACCTACACCATTGGACAAAACTCTATTCAACTATTATGGTCCCTTCTGGATTCGTCTGCATATCTGGCAATCCGAGTCAGGGAGAGTGCAGCCTCTCTTGGCCAGTTTTTTACATACTGCTCCTTTAACAGTGATTAAAAGAGGCCACAGGTAGTTAAAATTAAACAAAAGCTAAACATTACAAAACTGGAGCAAATTAAACAGTGGAAACACAAATAAGCAAAAAATAAACACAAACCATGCAAAAAAGCCAAGTATATCATGCAACAAGAAACAGATGCAAATGAAACAAGCAGCAAAATGACACTGCACACATGAATGTAATGGTCCGACCTCACCTGTGGAGTTTCCCGTGAGACCATTACTTCATTTGCAAACAGAGGAGTTGACCGGCCTTGTACAAAGGGCCGGTCAACTAGGACAAAACAACGGCCTCCTTTGAAGAGGGTGACAGCCGGAGCGCCTCTCTGCACCCACTGACAGTCTTTGAAAATAAACATTGTCATTACTTTGTTAGTAATGTAAATTAAATGTATTTCATCAAACAGTGTGCACGGGAGAAGCAGGAGGAGGGGGAGAGCCATGGGGGATGTGTGGTCTCACAACAGCTCAGGATCTGGGGTGAATTTAGTGTCAGCTGCGGTAAGAGGAACAAAATAAACGCTGGACAAAACATGCACCACGTTATACTGGCCCAAGACGTGAAAGTGAGCAATATAAAAATAATAAATAATATAAATAAATAAGACCAACCTAGATGAAGGGGCTGATGAGTATGAGTTGGTTAAGACCAGTGTGGGCGGGTCCTGGCTCCAAAAGGTCCATGAGCATGTGTGCTGACAGACATCTCACTCCGGGCCGAGGGGGGTGTACCCGGAAAGAGAATCACACGATGCTTTTGAATGGCGTCTTCTTTCCTCTCAAAATGAATTTAAAGAACGGTCCAAAAGTCGGCTCTTGACCCAACGCTACGTTCCAGATGTGTGTCTAGATTAGCCGCTGTGGACTTCAGAATGCACTCGTTAAATGAATGGGGCTAGTGCGGCTAACGCAAGCACAACATGCTTTTTGTTCACATTTTCCTGCCCTGCGGCCATTTTGAAAAAGCCCCACAGAAAGCAAAAGGCTTTGAAGGCTGTGTGGAAAATTATCTGCTGACCCCAGTTTGGAGAGAACAGGTGCGATCACAGTTCTTCTGGAGCGGATTCATCTCCAAACTTCTACTGCTGAATTTTGTTGCAACACGAGGAGCACAAAACACCGTTGGGGACATTAGTTCTGCTCTTTGAACCTTTTGAGTTGCCGACCCCTGTTCTAGGTCAATAGTCTGATAATTCTGTCTGAAATATACCACACACAAAATCACATTCTCTGACTTTTACTTTTTTATTTGTTTTTTATCAGCAAAAGCACAAAACACAGATCACACAAAGTCAAACAGTGAAAGTGAGAGAGGACAGCCCCCTATGGGCACAGATTGCAGCAGGTCTGTACCTGCTCTGCACCAGCTCGGAAACAGGTCTAAGCCAGGTCTGAACCAGGTCCGAACCAGGTCTAAATCAGGACTGAAACAGGTCTAGGACCAGGACTGAGATCTAAGGAGCTGAGTTTTTTCAATAATTGAGCAGAAATCAAAGTGGAGAAGACACACATTATAAAAGCTGGGTACGTGACTTTCAGACCACAACTATAGAACTCTGTATAAACCAATTTCTCTAGTTCCTGGCTCTACAGCAGTTAACCTCTATCACTAGATTTCATGTACTTTAGCACCGCCGCCAGGTTCTGGGAAGAAAATGCACAAACATAACACCCACAACCACACCCACAAACTTTCAAAACCAATCAGGACCCTTGCACCAGGACGCCATCCAATCAGAGCTGAGAGCGGTGAGACGTGGACCCGGGCTGGACAGCAGGGGGCGCTGTGGAGACAGAGAGGAGGAAGCTGTAAACAAACTGTAACCGCAGAAACATAATCATTCAGAGCCAAAATGTCCTCACTATACAAAGGTAATGTACATACTATTGTTGTCTGTATTTAAAAACACACATAATAAAACTTTAAAAACCCTTGAGACTCACCTGTGCTCCTCTTCTTCTCCTTGGACAGCGCGGCGGCCATCTTGCACACACTGATTCGCTCTTTCTTGGTGCTAGTGCCGCTGCCGGAGCTGCCTATTGGTCCGTCGCTGCTGCTGATGACTCGACCCCCACTGGCCACGCCCAATTTGCTCCCTTTGTTTCGCCTCCAGTCCGCGCTCACCAGCTTCCCAATCGACCCGACCAGCCCACGGCCCACTTTTCCAGAGCTTTTCCCAGAAGTGTTGTCTGCTTTGACCATGGCCGTTTTAGCCACGCCCCCTTTGGCAGTACCCTCTTTCCCCTGGACATAGAACTGCTTGGTCTGCACTTGCGGCGGGCTGAGTGTGCGCTTCCTTAGCTTCTCGTCAGCTCCTCCACTGCTTTTGTAAACAAGCCAGTCCTTTGTGGCCCACCTCCCAAGCTGATCTGCACTAGCATGACTCGTGGTAGCGTTTTTAGCATTGTTAACGCTGTCAGCAAGCATCTGTGTCTCGTCAAACCTCCGCGGGCTGAGACTGCGGTACACCATCCACTCGGGACTCAGCGATCGGGGGCCGTCTGACCCATCCGGGCTCAGGGTGCGTGGGCTAAACCTGCCGTAGGGTGACAGTGGTGGCGGGGTGAAGCACAACTCCCTTTGAGTACCATCAGGACTCAAGCTTTGGGTCGGACTAAGTGCTCGGGAGTCAAACAGTAAATCCTCTTGATCCGCGTGGCTCATCCTCTCTCTGTTGGTGCCATACACTCTCCACTCCCCGCTGTCGGCCCGAGCGAAGCGACCCATTTCCACTGGACTGGTCACGCCCGGCACAGGACTGGTCGGCTGGCCTGTTGGACTCACTCTCGATCCAGAACTCTGCTGATCTCTGTTATGACCATAAACTCTCCACTCTCCGCTGTCCGCCCGAGCGAAGCGACCCGTTTCCACCGGACTTGTTGCCATGGGGACAGGACTTGTGGGTCGCCCTGTCGGCCTCATCACTCTTGGACCTGAACTCATTCTATTACTACTTTTGCCATAACCAAAGTACTCCTCGCTGCCTGCCCGAGCAAACCGGCCCCTTTCGACCAGACTGGTAGGGCTGGGGACAGGACTTGTGGGTCGACCTGTCGGACTCAGTGTTTGCAACCCAGAACTCATCCTCTCTCTGTTATACCCGTATAGTAACCACTCCCCACTGTCCGCCTTCCCGAATCGACCTGTTTCCACTGGACTCATTTCTGTGGGAACAGGACTCGTGGGTCGCCCTGTCGGACTCCGCAGTCTCGGCCCCAAACTCGTCCAATCACTGTTTTTACCAAAGTACTCCCCGCTGCCCGCCCCTGCAAACCGTCCCATCTCGACAGGACTGGTGGGAGTTGGACTTGTGAGACGTGCAGTTTGACTCAGGCCATAACTCTGCCGGTCTTGGCTCTGTCCGTAAACTCTCCATTCGCCGCTGCCCCCTTTCCCAAAGCGACTTGGGCTCGCAGCCATGGGCACAGGACTTGTGGGTCGGCCTGTCGGACTCAGCACCCTTGGTACAGAACTTTGTAGATCTCTGTTATGACCATAAACTCTCCACTCTCCACTGTCCGCCCGAGCGAACCGTCCTGGACTCAGAGCGCGCTGGGTTGAAACACTCTCTGGCTCTGTGCTTACGACACCTGAGACCTTGGTAGACTGTAGAGACACAGAGCTCTCCACAGTTTTGACCTTTTCTTCTGCAAAAGTAATTTTAGAGTCTTCACTGCGGACTGCAAGGACGTTACTCTTGGTCAGACTTAGGTCTTTGTTTGTACACAGACCCCATCCTTGGGTTTTGGCCACACTTGGGTCTTGGTTACTGGAAGGACTGGCACTGATTCTCCCACTGCTCCGACCGTACACTCGCCATTCGCTCGCTGGGGGAGTCGGGGGGATCTCCAAACTGCCTTCGCTCCTGGGGACCTGTGTCTGAGCCTTTTGGGCTGCTTCTGTTGAAATTGAACCTGTCTGACTTTCATCTGCATGTTGCTCAACCATCACTGAAGCTCTTTGTGAAAATCCATCCCTTTTGGTTGTGTTTCCACCCGTGGTGACGCCTTCTAAACTCCCTCCACACTCTTCTCTGCTCAGTCCTTTTTCTTTTCTCTCTGAAGCACTTCCCAGACTTCCCTGAATCCAATTGTCCACATCTTTAACACGAAACATCTCACCTTCCCACTCTTCCCCACTCTCTTCTACATTCTCTTTTCCATCGTTTCTCAAAATACTTCCAGAATCCTGCTCTTCTGACATCACCACGTCCACAAATCCACTCACTTCTCTGACGTTAGAACCAATCGGAACTCCTCCATCGTCCTTCACAATGGTTTCAAAGCTTTCGCACAGAGCTCTCGTTTCCTCTGAGAATTCGTCGCTGAAGGGAGGGCTTTCTATCAACACGTAACGCTCTACCGGTCGCACACGCACATTGGCTTCGGTCAGGTCTTCGTCCATGTCCAGCTCCAGACTCAGGTCCATTTGGTCATCAAACTCCTCCATATCTTGGGGACAGAACGCACCTTCATTGAGCCGCAGAAACTCTTCTTCCAGCTCCAGGTTTGGCGGATATTCAGTGTTGTGTTCAAATTGTAAAGTTGAGATTCGGAAATCTGAACTCAGTGAACTCAGGAGCTCATAGCCTGGAAAACCAGTCAGCATTTTGGGCTCATTTGACTCTCTTTCCTCCTGAGTCACTTCATTCGTCTTAGAACCTTTCAAATGATATTTGTCTGAATCCTGATCCGTCTGAGTGATCTTTGGTTCAATGCCATCTTCACTCATATCTTCTGCTTCTTCTGTCACCGCTGATAGATTTTCAAAGTTTTCTTCTGTCAACACATGGTCCGTCTTTGTCAGTTTCTCTGGACCTGGATCATTTTGGGAATCTTGCGTCTTGTTGTCAAATGATCCTCCTGAGTTAAATATCTCCTCCACTTCTGGAACACCTCTGGATCGTTGGTCTTGGCTGGAGTTCATTCCCTCTTCAACAGCTTGTAGTTTGGGGGAAAGGTCAAAGCCTTTTCCAACATCTTTCATATCTGCCATAAAATCCTTCTGATCACAAGATGAAATCACATTTTCGCTGCTTGTGTGTAGACTTTTTGCATGGACAGATTGGACATCCGGCTGTTGTGCAGTTGTGACTTCTTTCTGATCACAAGATGTCAGATCAACAATCTCTTTCTCTGTGTCCGTTTTGGCCAAAAACTCTGTTTCTTGTGCAGGACTTACAACTTCCAAATTCTCAACTTTATCCATTTGTATTTCAGATTTCTCAAGATGTTTCTTTGTGAGATCGTTGGCATAGGAGTCCAACTTTGGTATGGAAATTATATCTTTTGCAGTTTCAGCGTTTGGTTTGGGGGAAAGTCCAATGCTTTTTCCAACATTTTTGTCTTCAGTTTCTACTTTAAAATCCTTCTGATCACATGGTTTTGAGGTTAAATCAATGCTCTCCTCATTCTCTGTGTTTGTTTTGGTCCAAAGCTCTGGGACTTTTGAAGCTTCACTTTTCAGCAACTCTTTTGCAGGACTTTCAGAGACTTTTTCCTCTTCAGACAGAGTAAGATCGGCAGCTATTTTTGGTCTGCCTTCAGATTTCTGTGCCTCAACAGCTTCTCGTTTTGATCTTTCAATGTCGTTCTTAACCAAATTTGGAACGTTTGTGGACTCTTGAAATTCTCTCATAACTGATATTCCCTTTGATTTTTCCTTGGAGATTGGGATAGATGGGACATCCGGCTGTTGTGCAGTTTCGGAAGCAGATGTGGCCACTTTGAAGCCAGATTCTGTCTGATCAGGAGATGTTGAGGTCAAATTAATATTCTCAGGACCTGCAGAGACTCTTTCGACTTTCAAATAGTCAACATTTTTTATTGGTATTTCAGATATCTCCTGTGATTTAATCGTGACATTGTTGGCAGAGTCCAAATTTGGTACGGAATCAACAGCATATGGTTTGGGGGACAGTTCAAAGCCTTTTTTAACATTAGGGTCTTTCATCTCTACATTATAATCATTCTGATCACAAGGTAAAGTCATATTCTCTTTGCTTGTGTGTGGACTTTTTGCGTGGACAGATTGGACATCCAGTTGTTGCGCAGCTGTGACGTTGAAGCCGGGTTCTTTCTGATCACAAGATGTTGATGTTCTGTCCGATTTTCCAGATGTGTTTTCATCTTCAGACCTCAAAATGGCCTCCATGTGACCAGCCTCCTCGTTGTGGTTGATTGCGTTGGTTTTATGGACACTGTCTTGGATCTCCTCAGTGATTTTCACAACAACAACATGAGTTTGAGAGCGTTTGCCGTCGGTGTCTTCATCAACACCACCCTCTGTGACCTCAGCGGCAGACGACTCCACTTTGTCGCCACATTCAGAATACAAAACCAGCTCTTGAGTCAAACTTTCCAGCGGCTCAACGTCAGTTTTGCTCATATTTTCTTCTATTATTTTCACGATTAAAAAAGCTTTTTTTCTGGGCACGTTTACAGAGTCTATAGGAGTTCTCAGTGCGTCTGTGGTCTCTGCTTCAGGAGCCGTCAGAGCGTCTGTGGTCTCTGCTTCAGGAGCCGTCAGAGCGTCTGTGGTCTCTGCTTCAGGAGTCGTCAGAGCGTCTGTGGTCTCTGCTTCAGGAGCCGTCAGAGCATCTGTGATCTCTGCTTCAGGAGCCGTCAGAGCGTCTGTGGTCTCTGCTTCAGGAGCCGTCAGAGCGTCTGTGGTCTCTGCTTCAGGAGCCGTCAGAGCGTCTGTGGTCTCTGCTTCAGGAGTCGTCAGAGCGTCTGTGATCTCTGCTTCAGGAGCCGTCAGAGCGTCTGTGGTCTCTGTTTCTGGAGCCGTCAGAGCGTCTGTGGTCTCTGCTTCAGGAGTCGTCAGAGCGTCTGTGGTCTCTGCTTCAGGAGCCGTCAGAGCGTCTGTAGTCTCTGCTTCAGGAGTTCTCAGAGCGTCCGTGGTCTCTGCTTCAGGAGCCGTCAGAGCGTCTGTGGTCTCTGCTTCAGGAGTCATCAGAGCGTCTGTGGTCTCTGCTTCAGGAGTCGTCAGAGCGTCTGTGGTCTCTGCTTCAGGAGTCGTCAGAGCGTCTGTAGTCTCTGCTTCAGGAGCCGTCAGAGCGTCTGTGGTCTCTGCTTCAGGAGCCGTCAGAGCGTCTGTGGTCTCTGCTTCAGGAGTCGTCAGAGCGTCTGTGGTCTCTGCTTCAGGAGTCGTCTCTCCAGCTTCAGTTTCACATTTCTGGGACAAATGTGTGAAAGTTGTAAATTCCTGAAAGACTTTGGTAGAAATAACTTCTTTAATTATGTTCTCATCTTCAATGGATTTGGTTTTAGTCCCATTCTCCAGTTCGGAAAGGCCCTCTTTACAAATATTTGTGTTTGAAATAGTTTCTCTGTGGAAGCCATTTTGGAGACAAATATCTGACTTTAGTCTGACTTCACTGACGTCTTCACCAATCTCTGCTTCATTCTTGCTGATCTCAGAAGTTTTGGGGATTATTTGAGACTCATTTCTCAAAGTTTTGCCTGTTTTTGTCAACTCTTTAGCTTGATATTTCTGAGCCTCAGCAGCTTTCACTTCTGAAATATGTCGGTCCACGGCCAAATATGTGACTTCCTGAGAGACTTTTGTTGAAACCTCTGCTTTAATTCTGTTCTTGTCTTCAGTGGAAATGGTCTCAGGTCTGTTCTCCAGTTTGGAAATGTCTTCTTTATGAATATTTGTGTTTGAAATTGTTTCTCTGTGGGTGCCATTTTGGGGACAAACATCTGGCTTTGAGTCAACAACTTGTCGACAGATTTGCTCTTTCTCTGTTTTGGGGTTTGCTGCGTCTTCCCTCAGTGTTTGAGAAGTGCTTTGTGGAACGCAGACAATGGTCGTTGATTCTGTGTGTCTCATTTTTCCTTGTATCGAAACCAAACGCACTGAAGCCTCTGTTGCATCACAATCAGTAGCTTTAGCATCAGTAGCATTAGCATCTTTAGCATTAGCGTCTGTAGCGTTTGGAAGGCTTTCATCTGAGCCTACATCTTCTGAACGAGTTACTTTAGATCCGTCTTCATTTGAGACTTTCCAAATCTCTTTGAATGTTTCTTGTTTTTGTGATATGACTGCATTTTCTCGTGAAGTTGAAATTACCTTTTGTCGTGGTGTTATTGCTTCAAATTTCCATAATTTGGGACTTTCCATATGGTTCTGGACCAAACGTGGAGAACTTTTGATTTCTGTGAGTACCGAGACTCCTGTGGTTGTCTCCTCTGAGGTTGTGGTGAAAGGTTCTTTGCTTGTTCCGGGACTCGGGGTCTGGACCTTCACCTCAGGATTGATTGTGACACGTTTTGGAGCTTGGTCGAAGCCACTGTGGTTCTGGACCCTCTGCCCAGCGTAGATGGACCTGGGGCTTTTGGGAGCTGACACTTGGATAACGGGACCGGTCCACTTCAGATTAGGACTGAGGCCGCTGCGAACACAAAGAAATACATTTTATATCACAGGGGTAATGTGTTCTAAAGATAAGCCAAAGTAAGTGAAACCCTAGAAGTAGCAGCTGTAAAACCTCTCGCACAGTTTATACACTTTTCTAATCACCTGAACTCACACCTGCTGAAGTGTCATCGCAGAGACACCAAACCTGTTGTTGGTCTGAGCGCTGCTGCAGCTGTCAAAAGATGTGCATACACTGTAAAATACAGCTGCAGAGAAGACTGCGCTGAGGGGCAGGAGCATGACTGAGGACTACAGGGAGACCAGAGAGACAAAGACCAGTGAGAGACCAGAGAGCGAGACCAGAGAGCGAGACCAGAGAGCGAGACCAGAGAGCGAGACCAGTGAGAGACCAGAGAGCGAGACCAGAGAGCGAGACCAGAGAGCGAGACCAGAGAGCGAGACCAGAGAGCGAGACCAGAGAGCGAGACCAGAGAGCGAGACCAGAGAGCGAGACCAGAGAGCGAGACCAGAGACAACTTGGATGACAATTAACAAACTCAACAGAAATAAAAGTGAAATACTCATTATCGGTTCCAAATCGATATTCAGTATTTGTATTGACGGCTGTCTGGTTCCCATGTCTTCACATTTGTTGCTAAGACGGTTGCTAAGTCACGTATATGTCTCATACCTGGATTTACAAACCATATCACAATATACACTAAAGCAAAGATTTAAGCCCAAAATAGTGAGTGTGACACAAACAGCGTTTTTGTGTAAGTCAATAGGAACCAGAGAGTTGGGGCCAAACTTCACCATGAGCACTTCCCTACAGTTGTTGTGATTAGATTGATATCAGTGTGTGTTCTCCTCTGTTCCATTAGGACCAGGTGCAGAAACAGACGCCTGCGGAGCTTCTGGAACAGCACAAAAATGATTTCTTGACAGCATCTCGGGGCTAAACCTGCTCAGACCTGAACCTCTTTATGGAAATCCAGCGATTAAGTCGTCACCGTGATGAATGTCAGAAGGTTCTCAGGGTTCACTGTGATTCACATCAGAGCACACCGGTCAACTCTACTCGCAGGACTTCACGAAGTTGTGGATTCCTCAACAACAGATCAGAGAATCAAACCTTTCATACACAGGAAATTGACCCTCCTCTATCAGCAAGGAACCACTCAGAAACCCAGTGGGGAAATTGAGAGACCTCAGGGAGGCCCATATTTGGGAACCGTATTCTATCAAATGTATCAAAGCACGTTTTGTGAACATGTATCATCTGGATCTAATGATAACTGGACACATGCAGACCTGTGACGAGTTAAAGGACTCTGCTACAACCACCACATTCTTATAATCTGCTGCAGAGGGACAGGTCCTGTCACTGGGGGCGTGTCCTGTTCACCTGGGATTGGCCTTCCCCTGCAGCAGCTCTCTGTATCTCTGCAGGTCCTCCCTCAGACACTACACCAAGATGATCCAAGTGTCTCACGCAGGGACCGAAAGATTAGCAGAACTCGCCTATATTTGGGCATTGTCTGGCTCTCCTGGTTCTGTGCAGTGGACGAGCTCCCATGATGCTTTATTGATGAAAACTACGTGTGTGTGGCTCTCATGCACGTGCATAGAGGGGCTCGGCCACACTGTGACCAATCAGAGCTGCTGTACAGAGCGGAGCTAGAGCGTGTAAGTGTAAGTGTAATTTTATAGAAAACCGAAGGATTTAAGAAGAAAAAAAGTTCAGGACCATAAGGGACACTAAAATCCGACCTTTATGAAAGCTGTAGGTTCTCTGTCAGCTGAGGTCGAGCTGTTTTAGTTTCCATTGAGTTCTATGGGACTTTTTTCTGGATAGGCCACGTGAATTTAGTCTGCAGTACCGTGGGCTGTGGGACAGCTTTAGTAATCTTTATAGTAATCTTTATTTATATACCGCCTTTTCACTGCAGATCTGAGTCACAAAGCGGTTTACAATTGTTAATTTTTGGGCATTTGTCTCTCACTTCACACAGAGATGGGAGCGGGGTCGCCAGTACAGGGGGCGCATGCTAGAACTATTGGACATATTTTTAGTGGTAGGGGAAACCGGAGTACCCGGAGGAAACCTACGCAGACACGGGGAGAACATGCAAACTCCACTCAGAAAGGCCCTGGTCCGACCAGGATTCGAACCCAGGACCTTCTTGCTGAGAGGCAAGAGTGCTATCCACTCAGCCACCGTGCCGCCCACCGTGCCACCGTGACAGCTATAAGCTAGTAATACCCTATCCAGATATTATTATAGATCCATCTCGTACAAGGGAGTTTCCTGTTGCTAAGGAGCAGGTTCTGATGCTGGAGGGCGTGACTAGTCTCTAAGGACATTTGATGGAGCAGGTCCTGTTACTAAGGGTCCTGTGTTGGGGGGGTGTCCTGTGTTGGGGGCGTGTCCTGTGTTGGGGGGGTGTCCTGTGTTGGGGGCGTGTCCTGCTCACCTGTGATCGCCCTGTGGCTCCTGCAGCAGCTCTCTGTATCTCCACAGCTCCTCCCTCAGACTTTCCACTATTCTTCTATCGCTCTCATGTCGTTCTCTCAGGTCTTCTTCTTCTTCCAGCGTCGTCTGCAGCTCGTTGCACAAACGTGACGCTCTGAGCTGAGACTGGGCCAAGAGGAGCTCCAGCGCCCCCATGTGGTCCAGGGCAGAGGCCTCCAGAGAGAAGTTCTGAGGAGAGAGAAGGTAACAGCTCTGGTCTCTGGTCTCTGGTCTCTGGTCTCTGGTCTCTGGTCTCTGGTCTCTGGTCTCTGGTCTCTGGTCTCTGGTCTCTGGTCTCTGGTCTCCGGTCTCCGGTCTCCGGTCTCTGGTCTCTGGTCTCTGGTCTCCGGTCTCCGGTCTCTCTCACCTGTTGTCTGAGTTGCTCCAGCTCCTTCTGCAGATTGGAGGCTGTGGTCCTCAGCTGCTCAGCGTCTTCAGAAACACGCGCCCCACCCTGGACACACCCGGTACTGCACCTTTTATATTCAAGCTCATGATGATCCAGGACTCTCAACATTCAACAACATATGTGGACATTTACCAACACTTGGACATTGGTCATCTGCCTCTTATGGACCAATACCAATGTGTTTTATTGATTGAACTGTCTGATTCTCTGATCTGTGTTGGCGAATTCAACGGTTTTGTAAAGTCCTCCGAGATAACTACTGTTGTGATTTAGGGAATCACACAGACCATTGTGAACACTGGGGTCAAATACAGGTGGGAAGAAGGCTCTAGAACTGCACAAGTCGCACGAAGGACAGTTCTCTGCTGAATGAGTCGTGGAGTTTGGGCTGTAGACATGGATGAAAAGTCTATTATAATGTGATTCTCTCTGGTCTCTCTCTCTGGTCTCTCTCTCTGGTCTCTCTCTCTCTAGTCTCTCTCTCTGGTCTCTCTCTCTCTGGTCTCTCTCTAGTCTCTCTCTCTGGCCCCTCTCTGGTCTCTCTCTGGTCTGTCTCTCTGGTCTGTCTCTCTGGTCTCTCTCTGGTCCCTCTCTCTCTAGTCCCTCTCTCTGATCTCTCTCGCTAGACTCTCTCTCTCTGGTCTCTCTCTCTGGTCTCTCTTTCTGGTCTCTCTTTCTGGTCTCTCTCTCTGGTCTCTCTCTCTAGTCTCTCTCTCTAGTCCCTCTCTCTGATCTCTCTCTAGGCTCTCTCTCTCTAGGCTCTCTCTCTCTAGGCTCTCTCTCTCTAGGCTCTCTCTCTAGTCTCCCGCTCTGGTCTCTCTCTCGGGTCTCTCTCGCTGGTCTCTCTCTCTAGTCTTTCTCTCTAGTCTCTCTCTCTAGTCTCTCTCTTGTCTCTCTCTCTGGTCTCTCTCTCTTGAATCTCTCTCTGGTCTCTCTCTAGTCTCTCTCTTGTCTTACTCTCTGGTCTCTCTCTCTTGACTCTCTCTCTGGTCTCTCTTTCTGGTCTCTCTCTGCTCTTTCTCTGGTCCTGTCTTCCCTGTGGTGAAAACAACACACTGAACTCTCCCACTACTGTCTCGGGTCGACACGGGTCAAAAACACAGGTTCTGGAGACCTGAAAGTATGACCGAGCGAGTGTGAGTGAATGGAACCGCTCACCGCTGCTGTGTGCAGACTCCAGGTCAGCGTGGGCTCTGAGGCCGTCTGCAGCTGGAGACTCACATCAGGGAATGAGGGTCGAGTCTGGAGCTGCACCGAGACGCCCAAGTCCTGAGAGAGCAGCTGCTGTACGTCCTGTAACAACAACTGACATGTGAACATCAGGCAGCCTCAGTCCTGCATCTACAGCCTGACTGTGGGAGCGGGTCTCTCTCTGGTCTCTCTCTGGTCTTGCTCTGGTCTCTCTCTGGTCTCTTTCTCTGGTCTCTCTCAGGTCTCTCTCAGGTCTCTCTCAGGTCTCTCTCAGGTCTCTCTCTGTATTCTCTCTGTATTCTCTCTGGCCTCTTTCTCTGGTCTCTCTCTAGTCTCTCTCTCTGGTCTCTATCATGGGTTACCCTATTTGGCCTCTCTCTTTGGTCTCTCTGGTCTCTCTCTGGTCTCTCTCTGGTCTCTCTAATTGGTCTCTCTGGTCTCTATCGGATGTATCTAGTCACTTTTTAGTCTCACTCTGGTTTCTCACTCTTGTCTCTATCTGATCTCTCGCTCTCCGGCCTCTCTCTCTGGTCTCTCTCTCTCCGGTCTCTATCTGACCGTTCTCTTTGGTCTCTCTCTCTCCGGCCTCTCTCTTTGGTCTCTCTCTCTCTGGTCTCTCTGATCTCTCTCGGTTCTCTCTCTGGTCTCTCTAATTGGTCTCTCTGGTCTGATCTATCTGGTCACTCGTTATTCTCACTCTGGTTTCTCACTCTTGTCTCTATCTGATCTCTCTCTCTGGTCTCTCTCTCTCCGGTCTCTATCTGACCGTTCTCTTTGATCCCTCATGTTTTTACCTGATGGTGTTGTGCTTTGAGCCCTCGAAGCTCCGCCTCTTTCGCACACACTTCCTGGTTCAGGTCAGTCAGGTGACGCTCCTGTAGCTCCGCCCACAAGAGCTTCAGGTCAGTAAGCTCCGCCTCCACCTGCTGTCGCTCCGTCCTCACAGCTGTGCACCTGAGCAGAGAGCATCATGGGAAACTTACACTGTTTTTTTGGAGTAAGAGACGGTCAGGATAAGCAACACTACGGATTCTGGCAGCAGACGTTACAATACAGGAAATTATACTGCTCAAAATTAGGACAAAATCCAGACCCAGATCAGACCTGACCCAGACCTACACCAGACCTAATCCAATCCAGACCCAGATCAGACCCACACCAGACCTAGTCCAAAGCAGATCCAGACCAGACAAGACTCAGACCCAGTGTGTAGTGCATGTGTGTTAAACCTGGACTCGTAGTCCGTAGCTGTGAGTTCGGTTCCCAGACAGTGCAGCTTCAGCAGCGCACACTCCCACACACACACACTGATCTGAGAACAGAGGAGCGGACAGTGAGACACAGGCACACACACACGCACACGCAGACACATCCACACACACACACACGCGCACACACAGACACATCCACACACACACATTCAGACACACACACACACACACACACATTCAGACACACACACACAGACACACACGCAGACACATCCACACACACACACACGTCACACACATTCAGACACACACACACACACATTCAGACACACACACACCCCCACACACACACAAATTCAGACACACGCACACATTCAGACACACACAGACACATCCACACACACACACACATTCAGACACACACACACACACACACACACACACACACACACACATACACACATTCAGACACACATCCACACACACACACACCCACACACACACACACCTGGTCCCTCAGGTCATTGCTGGTCTCCTGGTTTTTCAGGTGAGTCTTGTCTCCAGGTGACCTCCTGTGAAGCTCCGCCTCTATCTGCTGTTCTAGCGCCTGATTGGACGACTCCAGACATCGCACCTGCCAAATGCATGATGGACATTTCTTTCTATATGACGTGACCTGTAGTTTGTGCCTCTCATTATAAGTGGTCCGCTCACCTGCTGGAGGTAACAGCATAGGCGCCCGTTCAGGTTCTGCAGCATGGGCTTGTTCTGGGACTGGTCCAGGTCCAGACCGGGTCCTGGGACTCTGAGAGGCCTCATGGCTCCACCCACTTCAGCTGGGACAGATGAGGAACTAAGGAAGAGCTAAGGAAGAGAAGGTGGAACCAGAGACCAAACCGAGACCAGAGAGAGACCACAGATAGAGATCAGACAAAGAGAGAGAGCAGAGGTAGACCAGAGAGAGACCAGATGTAGACCAGAGAGAGAGACCTACAATAATATAGTGACTTCCTGAATCAAATCACTGTCAAGTAATGATACATGATTCTGTCTTGTGTTTTATGCAAATTAAACTTTAATAACGATATGTGTTTGAACACGAGCAAATGATTTGTCGAGACGCTGCTGCTGCTGCTGCTGCTGCTGCTGATGTACAGTTTGCATGTTCTCCCTTAATGAAAGTTAAACAAACAAGCAAAGCTGTTTTTTATAGTTGATCCACCGCGGTGCAAAACACATCCTTAGGTTTGTGAGTGCTTAAGTTACACACAACACACACACACACACAACACTTACACACAGACAAACACAAGACTCACACACGCACGCACTGAGTATGACTGAGCGACTCACCCTATCTCCAAGGGAGCAGCGACTACACTCTGAGCTCCTTCCATGTGATCTCCCAACCCTGTCCCTAAAGAGGGAGCAGTGGCTCTACTCCAAGTTCCGGATTGACTGAGCTTCTCAGTCAATCTATACCAAAGGGAGCAGCAGCTCTACGCTGAAGAAAACTCATGTGGACCACTTGTACACACAACATCGTCCTTTCGGTCATTACCCAAAGCTTATTACCAGAGGTGGGGGAGGGGACAAGAGCTCTGACTGCAGACGCTGCTCCCTCATGACAAGTTCCTGGCTCTAAAACAGTTTGCTTCCATCATAGTTTGTAGAGTTGTTGGGTTCTGAAAGAAAAGACTGAAAGAGGTCTCAGTTATCAGCCCAAAGAGACTAAAGATGAAGACAGAAAGTTGTGTCTAATTTGTTCACAACATTTTACTTTGACTCTTTCTGTTCAAACTAGTTATTTACTAGACTTAAAGTTACGTCCCTCAGCTTTAAACATGCGTTATTTATAAGAATAGAAAGACACACACACACACACATATATGCACTGAGACAAAACAAAGTAGACTCACGCTCGTGTGGCAGCTGCTGCTCCATCTGAACAACTCCTGCAACTGACGACACTCAAAGCTGTTTAGACCTGCCCCTGACTGAACCAGGTTTGAACTGGGTCTGAACCAGGACTGCAAGGACTGAATCAGGTTTGAACTGGGTCTGAACCAGGACTGCAAGGACTGAATCAGGTTTGAACTGGGTCTGAACCAGGACTGCAAGGACTGAATCAGGTTTGAACTGGGTCTGAACCAGGACTGCAAGGACTGAAATAGGTTTGAACTGGGTCTGAACCAGGACTACAGGGACTAAACCAGGTTTGAACCCAGTGGCTCTACTCCAGGCTCCTTTTGTGTGATTTAGTTTGTCTCTAAAGGTAGCCCCACCCTGGAGGAAACTCGTGTGGACCACTTGTACACAATCATGTCCTTTCGATCATTACCCAAAGCTTGTGACCAGAGGTGGCGGGGATGTAGAGCTCTGACTGCAGACACTGCTCCCTCATGACCAGAGTTGAAGGGGATGTAGAGCTCTGACTGCAGACACTGCTCCCTCATGACCAGAGGGGATGTAGAGCTCTGACTGCAGACACTGCTCCCTCATGACCAGGGTGAGGGAAGGCACTCGTGAACACTGCTCCTATCCTGAATCGTTCTTTCCACTTGAATCTGCAGTACCCACTTCTCACCAAGAAAACCCATATTTTACCAAATTATTCTTTTATGTAAACCTTTTAAAGTTGGGGTACATAACTTTCAGATCAATAGAACTAATGCAATTTTTTGTGTTTCTTTTTATTGAATATGGACATAATAACATTGGACGAACCAGATGCATTGCTTAAGTGTTATGGCACAGGGGCCTTTACATTACAGAAGATAAAATTAATAAAGATGTTCTGAGATTTGGAGCACACAGTCCCCACTGACTGAGGCTCCAGTGGAGGCTCTGAGAGCAGGGTTTCTGCATGAGCCCAGAGAACGGAGGTGACACAGTTGTTAACACACTTACAAGCCAATTTTAAAATTGAGAAATTTTCAAACTTGTTGAAAGTAAAGTTTGTGCTTCTGTATGATATCACAGTGATGCCATCTCAGTGGTTTCTTGTCCATGATCTTAATTGTTTATACAGAGGTTACTGGTTTGAGAATGGAGACTGATGTTTGAGACCATGCTGTGACACAACAGGACAGATGTAAAAAGACCATTGCATGTATAACACAGCAGTATGGTGTGGTAACTGATAAAACAAAAACAGTTAAGATTGGATTTGACAGTCTTACAAACAAGCTTGACTTTAAAACTTCAAGAGCTTATCCAAGATAACACCCAGGTACTTAGCTTCATCCACCTCCTTAATGACTTCATCGTTAAGACTAACCTCAAATAGACTTTCTAGAGACCTGTTGATAGAAAAACACATTTCATTGCGTTTAGATTTAATGTTAGATGGGACTGAACTAGCCATGTTGAGATGTTTCCAGTTCCTGGCTCCAAAACCCTTGTGTCCATCACTAGTTTAATTGTTGGCCTGACAAAGAAAAAATAAAAAAATGGAAACACTCTCAGCCCAAATAGTCAAATAGTGACTCATAGGGCTCCTTACACTAAAGATGAAGAGAGCATACTGTGTTTCTTCAACATTTTAGACTCTTTTCAAACTACTGTGTTGAGAAGTTACATCTGAGGGATGTAAGTGTTGATTAAAATCAGGACAAAGACTCGAACCAAGAACAATATAGATTTTATTAGTTTTTTGCTAAATATGAAACAAAAGCAGATTCAAACGTCATATTTTTCCATTTTTGTAGAATCAAATCCAGCCTCTACGTTCTGATTGGCTGCAGCTCGACCCCACTGCTATGGGGAAGAGAAGGCCCCGTCACCGCGGCAACGGACAAGGAGGAAGTGCAGCGAGATTGTGGGAAACGCGGTCCGAGCAGATCCCGGGTTCTTGGGGATTAGAGCTCTGGGACAAAAACCACAACTCTCCCAGCCACAGCTCAGGTCTGCGGAGAGGCGAGCCCATGCTGCAGCTCCACATTGACCGAGTCTGTAGTTTGGCCTTCTGAGGGCCTCGTGCAGATGTCGCCCCGGAGCTCTAAGGGATGTGTGAGTTCCACAAAGTAAGGCAACGTTTTTGGAAATCCAAGAGTCCTGTGAGTCACCATCTGACTCCTTGGGCTCAGAGCAGAGACTAAAACATCTGACAGCAGCAATAGAGGTCAGACATGTGGACCGTGGGTCTAAGAGACCAAATGAGAACTCTAATAAAAGCATGTCTCAAGTTCCTGGCATAAACAGTTTGCTTCTATCTTTTTCAGACAGGAGTGAAAAGAGGACCACCCTCCATCAGCTCTCTGCCCAAAGAGTCAAATGTGGACTCACAGGGCTCTACACTAAAGATGTTTTCTAAGGAGATGAAGACAGAATGTTTTGTCTGATGTGACTTTCTATTAGACAAACGTCATGTGTTATTTAAGAGGCTAAAATCACATATCCCAGCTCCAATACTTTAACATAGAACTGCGTCTCTAAAAGGCCCTCCACTGAATCTGCTTTGAAAACCTGCCATTCAAAAAGACATCGTTATGGCAACAGAATCCACACAGAACAGTTCATGACAAATAATGAGGGCCCTCTAGTGGTAAACAGCAGAACCACAGCTGAACTACAGCCACTCAGACGCGGCTTTTCAGGTCCTTCACTCAGTTTGCGTTTGGCTAGTATCGATGACTGCTCTGGGTTAAAGCGATAGCTGAGACGACACAGATTTTAGGTTTTGCCAAAAATGCATGTAACAAAACAATTTTAAAATTGTGGTAATGTGTGTCTGAGCGAGTGTGTGGGGGGCGGGGTCTGACTCGTACAGTGTGTGTGTGGGGGGAGGGGGTGTCTTGCAGTGTGATTAGCTTTAGAAGGCAGGACGACGACTGGAAGGAGAGGGGGACAGCCAGGGCCAAAGGAGAAGTGTTGTGACTGAGGAGTGTGTAGTTGTCCAAACACAATGACCGGTGATACATAACTGAAACAGGATTACAACAAAAACAAGTCTCTATAAGCCTCTAAAGATGTCTGAGCGGCAGAACTTTCCTTTTGGTCAAATGTATTCAATGGATTAACAAAATCATTGTTAATTACAGCTCTGGACTGGTGTCCCCACATTGTAAATATAACAGGTGTGTGTACAAGTCCCCACATCGCAGAGTTATCCACAGGTGTGTACAGATGAACTAAGGCAAAAGTCGGTGAGCGCGTCTCCGTGGCGACAGTAAACAGCTCCGTTGCCGTGGTGACGTGGGCGGAGACGCGGACACTGCGTTTGGGAATGTTTACATTTTATTCTTGTTATTCTCATCACCATCATCACACATGGAAAAATAGAACCCGGTACAAACTGAACTGCGGCGCCGCCACTCGCCGCTGCCGCCAAAGCCAAGTCTGTGTGTGCGGCGGGGTCAGGGGTCAAACCGAAGGTGGTGTGATGTCATCATCCGTCATCAGTCGCTCTCTCACACACACACGCACACTGCTGCGCCGGCTCCACCAATCACCGCGCAGACAGGCCCCCACAGGGACCAATGAGAAATCACCGCTCTCCACAAGCTCCACCCCCTCATCTGAAACAGAAAACCACATGTTAGGATGCTCCCTTTAGCTGCTACGGTTCCTTTTCTCAAAGCTCGAAGTTGTGTCATCCCTGTGATCAGACATTTTCTTTGAAGTTCAGAGCAAGGAGGCTCTACTGCACTTGTGTTTGGGGCTGCTAACGGCTAACTGCTGCTAACAGCCAACACTCAGCATGCGTGGATCCCCGGGGCTCTGAGAGGCAGGAGTTCTTCTACATATTTACACATATGTAGTAGAGGGAGAGAAAGAGCGGTCAGGAGGAGAGGAGCAGTAGTACATCAGAACATTTCCATACCAGGCCTGTGTCTTGAGCTTGCGCAGCTCCTTCGTGGCCCATCCCGCCAAAGTCTTTGTCTTCTGGGTTTTCGAGCGCCGCCCTTCCGTCAAAAGTTCATTAATTCGAGGAAGATCGTCCACCAGCTTCCCTACGTCTTTCCCAAACGCCACACACATGTCTCTGAGAGAGAACCAGGAAATACAGTCACACACGTCTCAGAGAACAGGGATATATTAATTACAATGTCTCACGACTCGTTTAACTGTTGCAATATTGCAACATGGTCAGCTCATGTGCCCCCTGCAGTGTGTTTATCCTATGACTCCTGTTTAGATTGGGGGTGGTGTTTGTTTACCCTATGAGTCCTGCAGAGTTGGCCACGACTCCGTCTGAATGATCTTCGTCCATTGCAATGTGATCGATGAACGAGAGGATGAAGGGAACGCGAGGCTGCATCAGCATCACGTCAGCTTTAAAAACACACACACGTCAGCTTTAAAAACACACACACGTCAGCTTTAAAAACACATGTGACAGTTACAGGAGGACACAAAAGATCATCGATGGCACAAGAAGTCTGTTTGAACTGCTATCAACTCCTTAAACCTGATCCTGGTGACACCCAATAATAAATGAGCAGGGTCTCTACCCTTTGAATGTTGGGTTGAGCAAAACCAGTCGTCCAGAGCAGAGCGGGCGACTGGGTGAAGCAACCCGTTTTTTCTGTGACGCTCTAAAATCTGTCTGTTGAAGCTGAGAGCAGACAGAGGAACTCGCGTCACGGATCCTACCTAACCCACGACCCAAACCCTGCGTCCCTGTGAGACTCACGGTGGATCACGTTCTCCTGGTCGCCTTTCAGGCCCTGGATGATCCCGGTGTAGGCCTCCAGACAACCCTCCCTCAGCTCGTTCAGGTAGTCCACCATGTCGTAGTCCGTCTGAAAAGAGCAGCAGCATCAGCACAAACACCCGACCTGAGCCCTGTGTTCTCCCGAGCAGAGCCTTTAACTGGACACTTGAGGCACGACCATTGAATATTCTTATATTAGTTTGGCACCAGACTGATCCAGGTACGTGGAGGACCTTCCCCCCCCCCCAGGAGGAGGACTAAGAACTCTCAGCTGGCCTGGGAACAGATTCCTGTAGATGACATGGTCTCACCTTGTCGACCTGCGCCTGCGAGGCCTGGTCCAGCGTTTCCAGAACCACAGCTAAGTATTTCTTAAACTCTCCTCCAACAGCCAGCGCGATGTCTCCAAACACAGAGAGGATTTGCGGCTTCACAGAGCGGTGCACGTCCTGGTTCTGACCAGAGAGAAAGTTACAATATGTCCTGGGTCTACACCCTCAGTCCAGGGTCTTGGCACAGATGACTCACCCGGAGGTTGTCCAGAAGCAGGTTCATGATCTTGTCACAGTACGGCAGAATGTTGGACATGAGCGCTCTGCAGAGGTCACACACCAGCCCCACGGCCGCCAGACAGACCTGTGAAAGGGAGAGTCAACCAACTTACACAGATCAGACCAGGTCAAGTCTCAGTCTGGTTCAGACCTGGTACTCTGCATGGTTCTTCAGTCCAATCACGAGGAAGGGTTCAAAGGCCTCCATGTACTTCTGAAAGTCTGCTCCCAGCACTGAAACAGGAGGAACAGGTCAGAGGGAACCAGAGGTATGTATGTACCAGGAGGATTAGAGGGTCTCTTTCGCCTCTGACTGTTGGGTTGAGCAAAACCAGTCGTCTGGAGTAGAGCAGGCGACTGGGTGAAGCAACCCGTTTTTTCTGTGACGCTCTAAAATCTGTCTGTGGAAGCTGAGAGCAGACAGAGGAACTCGCGTCACGGATCCTACCACTGACCAACCAACCGGGAAAAAAACTGCTTAAAAGATAATTAATGGCTTCATAATTTTTTTCTCAGTGGAAGAACCCCAAATATCCCCGACAGCTTGAGTTGATTTTACCTTCAACCAGCGTAGACACGGCCATGAGGGCGTCCTCCTGAACCCCCCCAGACCCTGCTGTGCTCTGGAACATCCTGAGGAGAGACTCCATCACCACGTCAGAGATATGTAGGGCATCCTGGTGCTGGACCTTACGGAGGACGTTCTGCGGCAGAGGCAGAGCGGTCAGCAGGAGAACGAGCAACAGAAGAAGAAAGAAAGGTCACACACAGGGACAGACACACACAGACCGAGAGGTCAGGAGGAGAGCAGAAGGAGGAGCAAGAGTGTGTGACCCATTACCTGTAGTGTAGCGCAGAGTAGCGACTGCAGGTCATTGTACTGCATGCGGTCTGAGGTGCTCTGGATGTGAGACTGAAACAGACATTTGTTACACACTGGCCAGGGGGCGGGGCCTCTGAGTCATGTTCATACCTCCATCTGCAGCACGTGCCGGAGCCGCTCCATGATCACCAGAGTGATCTTCTGCACCGCAGGATAACAATCTTTTGCGCTGTTCTTCACCACCTCCATCAGAGCCTCGTACGCCGCTGACCGCAGGTTATTCTGGTGCCCGTCCGGTCTGAGGGCAGCACAGGGGTCAGCACAGGGGTCAGCACAGGGGTCAGCACAGGGGTCAGCACAGGGGTCAGCAGGTGAGAATGACCTTTGACACTCACCGGTCTGTGGTCTCCAGCAGCTTCTCCACGATCAGCTCAAACGTGGAGGACAGACAGTACGTGGCCGGTTCCTCCTGCTCCTCTGCTGCTTCTGTGGCTTCATACGCGGCTTCAGCAAGAGACGAAAAGGCCTGGGACAAGAACATGCAAACATTATGGACCACAGACCAGGAGAACATGCTAACATTATGGACCACAGACCAGGAGAACATGCTAACATTATGGACCACAGACCAGGAGAATATTAATTTAACCTGTCTCCACATGGACTAGAGGCCACTTGTGGTACTACAGCGCACGCAGCACACGTTTCCATTAGCATAGCACACATTTGCGCTTACCCAGCACACGTTTGAGGCCACCCGTGGTTCAGCGCTCAGCCCGTCGATCAGACACTGCAGTAGCGGCGCCAAGTAAAGGTCGTTGATCGCCGCTTCGGGCATCAGTTCACAGATCCTGCCCACTGTCCACGCCGTCGTGTCCCGCACCACCACCGAGGGGTCCTTCATCAACTCGATCATTGTGGGCATTCCCTGGAACCAGAAAGAAATGTGAAGACCCGACCTGGGACCAGACCTGAGACCAGACTCAGGTCTCAGGTTTGAGAGATTAGACAAGATTGTGCGGCTGAAGGTGCATGGCCTCCCTTGGTTATTGGTCTGATGTAGTCTCTCACCTGGATGATGATGGGCTTGAGGTGGTTGAGCTCAGGTCCTTCCAGGATGGACCCAAAAGCCATGACTGAGGCATCCCTGTATCTCCAGTCTGGATGTTTGATATTCTCCTTGATGAAGGGAAGAACGTGAGGAACCACATCGTCCTCGCAGCAGGTGGACAGCAGCATGAGGCACACTCCGGCTGCTTTACAGGGGTTCCAGTCATCGTCATCGTCATTCTCGTCCTGAGGGAAAGCAGAGGAGGCGTCAAACAGGAGCCCAGGGAGAGGACAGAGCACAGGGACAGCATAAGACCACAGGAGAGCCGGGTGAAATAGAGTGGGGAGACCGGGGAGTGAGAGGCCTGATATAGGAACGACCCCACAACATTATTGCTGCGAGCCCTGAGTGCTTAAACTGGTGAACGTACCTGTTTGGTTAGGGTCTGTGTGAGGATGGGCACAAGATATTGGAGAGCTCCTTTGGCGTAGAACTTACTGGTGTGCTCGGGAGGGCGACCCTGCTCCGAGGCCTGGGACAAAAGACACAACATTAGCACGAGTCCAGGAGAAACACCTCCTCAGACACGTGTTTAAGAGGGAGTGAGAGAGAGAAGACACCAGATAGAGGAGGAGGGTCACTGTATAGAGATAGAACACCCAACAACTATCATGCCATAAAGTTGAATGAAAATTTTCATTTTATATAAATTGTATTTATTAGTCATGGGGATGGGGATTTAGGGGGTGGAGGAAGAAGCCTGTGGGGGTCAGGGGTGTGGTAAGAGGTAAGCTGGTTTGGTCAGGGGGTGTGATTACCTCAGAGGCCTCGATGGCCAGATCCATCTCTTCATCGCAGACGTTGGACCAGAACTCGATCCCCTGCAGAGCCACTTCATCTATGTCACTCTTCATAGCCTCGATCGTGATCTGAACAAACACACATTCCATGATCCCCAGAGAAAATCACAGTAGAGTGTGCGTCATGTGTTGTGTTTATGTGAACAAAAGTTAAGACCTTTCTTCGTCCCAGTGGGGAAATTGCAATGTCATTGTTGCGCACATTACAGCAGAATATAAGAAAGGAGGAAATAAGAGCACTCAGACTGCACACATCAAACAAGATCTATTATTCAAGATAAGATAATGAAGCAGTAAAAAAACTGAGCCGAGTGTGTGTGTGAACAGAGCAGAGGGACTCACAGCAAAGAGCGCAGGGCCCATGTACGTCTCCATGTACTGATAATACAGAGACATGATCTTCACCAGGTTCTGCAGCGCCGCCACTCGCACCTGGGGACACAGCCAAGGTCAGGACTTTGGGCGAGGGACAGGGGTGGACAGGACTAATTCTTGCAAAATAAGAATCTATTGGGATTAGTTTCTGTGTCGCATTCCGCATAATTTAACAAAAAACAAAAGTTAGCAATGTTAATCTATTGCATATAGCAAGTTATTTACATTTCACTAGATTTATTCATTTATTTTTTTTTTCAGTTTGATGTTTGTATAATGAATAATCAGTTTTAAGTTAAGCTGCTCAAGGGGACAGTTTCCTGGGCTGTAATGTAGTTTTATTATAACCTTAACCCTTCCTGTCATTAACCAGTAAGGCTTTCATTTGTAGTCTGCTCATCACTATTCACCTATTGTCCTGAGAAACAATGACTGTTTTCAGAGAAGGATGAGCCAAGGTGCAGTAATTTACCTAACAGATTATATTTACTAACAAAACTTGCTGGCAAAAGTATCTTGCATCTTAACAAGCAATGCCTGATCCTCAACATCTAATTTCCAGCCTGTACTCGAGCACGTTCACGCCAGGGACGATTGCTCATGTGGTTCTCTTGCACGTTTTTGTTAACATTGAGTCTACAGTACCTTGGGTACCCCCCATGCCTGTGGGTGGGACAGCTATAAGTTTGCAATACCCTATCCAGAGTACTTTTAGTAGATCCATGGACAGGACTCACTCTGTTGTCTGGACACTGTGTGGCCTCACAAACCACCTGCATGATGAAGTGACGCTCCGACTGAAACACACAAAAACACAACACTGAGCAGAAGATCCTCTGGAGGAGACCGTACGGACCAGCAGCGGTTTGGGTTTACAGCAGCTGCAGTAGTAGTATTAGCCGCAGTAGCAGTGGTAGTATCAGCAGCATCTGCTCTCCTCTCAGTCTTCTCACCTCTCGGTCAAAGTTGGCCTTAGTGAATTCTAGAGAGTTCAGAAGTGCGTTGGTTGCTGCGAGCTTGACGTTGTTGCTGGGCTCCTCTTTCCTCATGCCCTGGATGATGGCAGTGAGAATCTGATTGGCCTTCTCCTGCAGGTGCTCTGGGTCCTACACACAGAGACAGAGCATAATATTGCATACATGTTTAATCTGATCTTTAGAACGTGTGAATAAAATCTGCAATAATAATGAGTGTAAAAGAAGATTAATTGTATTAATCCGTAGGTGAACGTAGTTTCTTGATGTTTTGAAGCTTTTCTTCGGATGGAAAATGTAACTATTATTTTTTTTTTTTCACGTAAGAGTACAGTAAAAATCTCCTGTGGACTCACCACCTGCAGAGGATCAGTGAGGGGCTGGTGCTATGAGACTTGGGTGGCATCTCTGACTGCCACCCCCCTGACCCAGAAATGGATTAAAGGGTAGAAAATGGATGGATGGAGTACAGTAAAAATGTTAAAGTACTGTATGGATACAATACTCTAAGACGTACAGTTACTTCTATAAGTTACTCAAGTTCATGTACTTGAGTAAATGTAATTGTTTTTGTTTTGTTTTGTTTTTCGGAATTATTATTTTGGATACGGACTGATTGTGCAGTATCACCGGGAAATGTAAATGTATATCATAGTGATTACGGGGTAGGCGTATATATAAGCTTCTGGCTTCAGCCTACTCCTTTTCTTTTTGGGAGCGCCTCTAATAGAATGATGTAAATGTGAATGTTAAAATGTAAACGGCTCAAAAAATGAATAAATAAATAAATAAAAAAATAAAAAAAAAATAAAAAAAACATGTCAGTGGTTACAGCCTTCATGTTACTTACGATGTCCTGGCAGATGTAGCCGATGGCCTCCAGCGTGCTCTCCCTCATGTGTTCGGTGGACTGGGCATTGGTCATGTTCTTTACCAGCTCCTGGACCAGATCAGGCCACTGGTTTACAGGGATCTCTGCACAGGCGATCCCAGCCACACATTGGGACGCAGAGCTGGGACGATAGTTCTCTGTGCCCAGGGTCTGAAGAACCTGAGGACAGAGGGGAGCCGTGAGAAGATCAACCACACATCCATAAATCCCCAAACACATCAGAAGACTTACAAATTTCTTTATCTCCTTGCGGGCATTGGCGTCGATGGCCAGCCACCTCTGCTGATACTGCGCTTTGAGCTCTGGGTCTTTGGACGTTACAGAGTTCTTAATCTGGAGACCGGCTGCAACACGCGCTACCTGTGTGTTCCCAGGGTTTGCCAGGACTTTGGAAAGCTCCACCAGGAACAGGGGCTGAGGAGAGAGGAGCAGAGCGGGTTAGAGGGCTCCACCAGGAACAGGTGCTGAGGAGAGAGGAGCAGAGCGGGGAGAGAGGAAAGCCAGGACACTAGGACTGAGGGACAGGACTAGGTGGGGACTACGTGGAGACGAGGACTATGTGAGGAATGGAACAGGACTCACCAGATTCTCCATTGCCGCCTGCTCCAGAAACTTTTGCGCCGCCTCCAACTCATTTCGGTCTGAAAACAAACAAGTTTAATGCAGCGTGAGTAACGGACACATATCTGCCACCTGCAGGTAAAAGCCAGATCCTGTGAGACCTCTGAAGCTTAGCAGGGAAGGGCCTGGTTAGTACTGGAGTGGGAGACCTCTGGGAACTCTAGGTGCCACAGTAGGGCAGCATGACACAAACTGGTTTCCTCACTTCTGTCAGTGCACCCCCCAGGGCAGCTGTGGCTACAGAAGTTTATCCCCACTGTATGTGTAGTGAATGAATACTGACAAGTGGAGAGACAGAAAGTGCTGTTAAAAAAGAAGAAAACGTTTTTTTTTCACCATTGTTCTGACTCTTCTCATATGTCAGGGATGTCACATTTGCAGTGTGATTTTGAGACAGGTTTTGCAGCTGACGCCGTCAGACAGGTTCTTCGAACGCGGAATCAAATCAGAGCAAACACCAAGAGCCTCCCACTTTCATTAGTTTATATTTTATTTTATTTTGAGCCAGTTGAGGTGGCTCAGGCTTCCGTTTGGGATTTCTCCTTGGCATGTCCCACCAGGGGACTAGGGAAGACCTAGGACACGCTGGAGGGACTGTGTCTCGTAGTTGGCTTGGGTTAATGCCTTGGGATTTGACCAGATGAGCTGGAGGGGAAGTGTGCGTGGGGAGGGAAGTCTGGGTGTCTCTGCTCAGACTGCTGCCCTGCGACCCGGTACAGCATAAAGCGGAAGAGAATAGAAGGCAATACATTCCCTTCTATTTTTCAGTAGTGCACCTGAATACAACTGGAACAATATAATTATACAGACTTGATAAATCTCATGTCATGTTTGGACTGAGTCGTGTTAGAATTGAGGCTGGTTGCTCTGCTTGTTAATGGGGGCTTTAGTTGTTGGAGTGAACACGCCTCAACAGTCCACTCCACAGCGGGACATGAGCTGAGGCGTGGAGGTCTGTTAACGTGTTAGCATTAGCTGCAGGCATCAAATACACCCATAAACCTGCAAACATAGCATTCACACACAGTCTATATACACAAAGCACCCCTCTGTATCCGTGAACATGTTTCTTTCAGTCGGCTTCAAATGAGCGGGAGCCGGTGTGCGTACCGAAGCTAACCCGCTAAGCTAACAGGCGTGGGCAGATGGCAGGGGGCTTTGCGGTCCTTGTACCCGGGCTCAGAGACACATACAGGGCGGTAACAGCAGCAGAGCACCCGTCTGACATCCACCACAGTGGGGCAAAGCTCAGTGAAGGCCGGGGCTGGGGACCTGTACTCGGTGGAAGTAGGACAGAAACAGCCCTGGGAACCTTAGCAGCAGTTAGCTCCTGGCTCGCTCTGTCACCATTAGAATCATACATTTATTGTCATTCAGCACTTTAATGTATTTAGTTAGACTTGTATAGCTCCAGTAGAGCCCCGTGTAAACCCAGGCACAAACCAAAGACCATTTCACAAAGTTGTCTCAAACGTATTATTATTATTAACAAAATAATTTGGCGCATTATCAAATCTAGTAAAATCTTTATAATACACCCTGTTCTGTGTTCTAACAGTGAAATGCAGTATATTCATAGACTATTTGTAACTTTTGAGTAAAAATCTTGTCAAAACGAGTCAAAAATCAGATTTGTCTCAGGTTACTATAGCAACTTGTTAGCTCCTGGCAAGTGACTAAAGTTACAACACAAACTAGTGTGAAAACATCTTCAATTATCTTCAATCTGCATGTTGTGTGCGTGAAAGTTTAGTGACTGCGTTTTGACTCTGCTTGCGCCACTTTCTCGCGTTAATGTCGCATAAACACGCGGGTAGAGGCCGGGCTGTGGAAGCACGCATGCCGCGGTGGAGGCTCCATCTGCGGCGTGCCGCACGAACAGAGGTGGCTCGGATTAGCATCAAACTAGCAACAAGCTAGCATCACTCAAGGAACGCGGTGCAGGAGTTATATCAGAGGTTCTGAGAGTTTGTCTCCAGGAGCTTAACATTTAGTTATTTGGTGTCATTTTAAAAAAAGTGGTCAATAGTGTAGTTTGCAAATATATCACTTTGATAAGGTGTGCTTTCACGGGAAAGATCAATGGAATAGGAGGTGGACGCATTCCAAATAAAATAATTTCATATGTCCATGTTTTAATTAAAGGCTGATCGAACCACTGAAGGTTATGACAGGGTAAAATGTAGTGATGCACTGAATTGTGGCCGATATCGATACAGATATTTACAATTGACAGTATCTTTATATAAAACAAATCGTTTTTGCTGCCTTCAGCACCTGCTTTGTTCGGACTTCTAAATGTTTTATATTCATCCCGATGGGGAACGACTTGTGTGTCACTTTTGTTATTATTTCAAACTGTTCAGACCACAGGTCATAAACCTGGAAAGAAACCCAATTAGAAATGTTCCTCTCATATTGTGTATAATTATATATATATATATATATATATATGTGTATGTGAGACAGTCGTCTCAAACCACCGCCAAGACTACAACACCCATCATACCTGGCCATGAATGCCTGCCCTTTACACATCTCTCACACACATCAGTCCATACACCGCCCACATACAGCGCTAACTCCGCTGCCCAATCGTCCACTACAATATCTAACCCTGTAATCTAGTATCTGGCAATGTGACATATTAATACGGCGCGCACACCTGGTGCTGTGCGTGCAAACTTAACTAGCCCACCCCCAGTACACCAGCATCACAAAGTGCTGTGAATGAGAAAAGTTACACACACATGAAACTAAACCTTCATGAACGGATGTAGTACTACGCTGGGATTAGGTCAACTGTGAGTTTCTTTTATACATGCACCTGAGGAGGACTTGTGGTCAAAATGTGTGACACTACTCTAAAGAGCTACAAGAGGTGACACAACACACTGGAATAATTATTAGCCCTTTCATATTGGCCTTATTTTGACAGATGTGTAAACTAGCATTTAACAAATCAGCCGATATAACTAGTAAAATGTAAATTGATGTGTATCAATAATATCGTAACATTTAACTTATAATACAGCTCAGGAGGATCAGAAGGAGCCAAGATGATCCAAGATAAGGAAATATGTTCTCTGCATTTGTCCCATCCTGGAGCCCTCTGGATGATTTTACCTATGCCGCATGCTTTGAGTTTAGGGGGCAACCAAAGAGCCGAGGGGAAACTCACCCAGATACAAAACATGCCAACTCAAGACATTTTTCTCATTCAAATCCATATAAAAAGCACTACTTTCCGTCTCATGTTTTAGCCAAGAGCATTTTAAAGATTGGGGTTCTTTTACCGGGCAGACAAGGACTGAAGTCTCTTCAGCTCCAGTGCTCCGTTTCCCCATGGATGGTTAGCTCTCTTGCTTCTATGCGGGTTTGTATCCGGTCAGAATAATGCCTTGCTGCGTGGAATTTGCATGTTCTCCCTGTATATGCTCCAGTTCCCATAGTACTAAAACATGTACAAAAGGTCAAATCCCCAGCTCAGGTCCTGATCAAGAGAATCAAATTTTGGAGATGGGGTCAGAGTGCTCACCCCTGACCTCAGAGGCTCTAGTGAAGGACCCTGTGAGGATAGTGTGCCTAAACTTTACCTAACTTTCCTAATGCACTTACAGAACCCTCACCGATCTGAAGCACAGCCTTACTGCTTAAAGCTCGGGTACAAAACATTAAAGCTGGGGTACGTAACTTTCATACCACAATAGAACTTCAAACTCATGTCTCTAGTTCCTGGCTCTATCAGTTTGCATCAATCATTAGTTTTCACATCATGTATGTTTGGCCTCTGATCTAAAGATCTTTAGATCAGCCCGTTCAGACAGAAGTGGAAAGAGGACCACCCTCACTCAGCCAATTAGTTCTCAGCTGAACGAGTCAAATAGTGACTCACAGAGCCCTTCCTTAAAGCTATCCAAAAGACGAGTTGTTTTCTAATATGAAGAAGACAGCATGTTGTGGTATTTTACTTTAACAAGCCAGTTCAATAAACTACATGTGTTCATGACACTAAAGTTACGTGCTCCAGCTGTAATCCTATGTCATACTCGTGTTTGTCAGTTCTATATTTCTCCAGATTCGTGCAGCTTTAGCAGAACTGTAGCTTTAGCATTAGCTTGTGTTAGCATCACAGAGCGGCTAGCGGCTAACACGCTACACCCACACTTCCGTGCCTCTCGCCCGGCTCACGCGCGCTCTCCGCAAGCTGCACGCAGCTTCTCTCCCGCGGGGCCGGCCTCCCTCTCATGCAGTCCCCCCAGAGCGCACTCACCCGGGGACACAGTCTTCTCCAGGATCGTGATGAGCTCCATGGCCGGGGAGGCGCGTGTTCTACCGGCGTGAGAGTGCTGGGTGTGGGGGTGGTCTGGTCCGACTCTGGTCCTACTCTGGTCCGGCTCTGGTCCTACTCTAGTCCGGCTCTGGTCCTCCTCTGGTCCTCCTCTGGGCCTCTCTCCAGGTAATCACGGCGTTTCTCTCGTTTGTCAGTCCTGCAGCTCAGCCGGTGTAAAAGGCCGCGCGCTGCTCTCCCGCGGAAGGATATCACGTAATCACGTCACGACGTCACCACGTGTGTTTAGAACTTCACCAGAGGCGGGAAGTGACGAGTACTTTTACTCGAATAAAAGTTTGACAAGTACAGGTGGTGAGTCATGCTGCTTGCAGATTAAGAAAACTAAATACCACAAATTTATGACCACAGTCTCGGTCTTGGATCTTCAGCCTCAGTCCTGGGTGTCAGTGAACCACACAGCAGTAGAAACACATTGCTTTATTAGTGTCATTACAGTCGTCTCAAACGTAGCTGCCGAGTTTTTACTTTTTGTTCCAACTTCTTCACATCATTTTTTAAAAACATTTTATTTTAATGTAAACAAAGAAATGGACAAAAAACAAAACAGTTCAAGAAATACATAAAAAAATGCCCCTTAAACAAATGACCGTAAAAAACAAACATTTGGGAAAAAAAACCACAATGATCCAGTGCATTTCAGTGTCCTGGCGTTTGATTGGATAAGAGCTTTACAGATTCAGATATCTTCCAATCAGAGCGCTCGTTATGCAAACTCAGTGACTGAATAAAAATATAAAAATAAAAAATATTATAAACATTGACCCATTTTTAGATTATGGCACAAAAACAATAATTTCACTGTCGCCGTGGCAACAGCTAACACGCTAACAGGAATTAGCTTTACTGCACACAAAAAACTACTACATTCAGGATTCAGTGCATTTTTCATTTCACAACGATTTTACATCAAACAAACAGGAAGCGACTGTGAAAAAAAATGAAAGAGGGAGGAGCGTCTGCATTCAGAGTGCTTTTATACTGCTGTGGTGAAGAGGGAACTCTACGTCCTCTTCTTCACCTCTGGTCAAAAACTTTGGGTAATGACTGAAAGGACGAGATCGCGGACACAAGTTGTCCACATGAGTTCCCTCCAGAGCTCCATAGAGATAGGAGCTCAGTCACATGGAGGAGTTTAGAGTAGAGCTGCTGGTTCTCCATGTGGACAGGAGCCAGTTGAGGTGGCTTGGGCATCTGTTTGGGATGCTTCCCGGGAATTCCCAGGACACGCTGGAGGGACAGTGACTCTCAGCTGGCCTGGGAACGCCTCAGGATTCCCCCGGAGGAGCTGGAGAAAGGAGAGGGAAGTCTATAATACCATAATTAAGGTTCTTTTTGATGATTTTGTCCCTTAAAAGATAATACTAACTCCCTATGCCGTCCCCAGAGGGAGCAGCGTCTGCAGTTAGAGCTCGCTGTAACTCCCTATACAGCAACCAGAGGGAGTAGCTAACACATGTGATTGTACAGAAAGTAATCCTTATGTTTATATTGTCTTTGTAAATCCAGATACGAGCCATGTAAAAATTGACCAGGTGCCGAAACACCTGCCCCTGTTATGGCATGAAGCAAAAGCCATCAGAACAAATGCCCATATAAGAAAACTGGCACGAGAAAGCACATGAGTCGCATTAAGACCAACGCTATGATGATGCCACACTCTGTCCACAATTAGTAAAATTCAAAAATCTTTCGTCGCAGTGGAAGTTTTTGGTTAACCCTAACACACTGTCCAGAGCAAAGACAGTTTTCAATGTTTTACTTCTTTCATATTTTGTCACAGTTTAATTTCTGAGTTTCACATTTTTGTTTTAACATTTTGGCAAAAAAATGGTTTGAAATTGAGCAGAAAATATAAAAATCCTACAGTTTAATATTGAGTTTTTACATTTACGTGTTTCGGGAGAACTGGAGCTGACCCCTGACCCCTCACTGACCCTGATCCTGACCCTCATCTTGACACCCACTGACCCTGACCCAGATCCAGTACAGTCAACTGATGATATTACCCATGATGCCTCAGTGGTTCACTCACTTCAAAACAAAAAATACATAAAAAACTGAACAAATGTGTTAAACATTTACAGCGTATTTTACAGAAAAGGAGGTTTTTGTGTTTTAAACATAAGCAATAGGAATGTTTCACACGGAAACCAATAAATACAAAACTCCTGAGAAAATGAAAATATCAAATAAAAATGTAAATTTGAAGAGCCGCACGCGCCCAGCTCCAACAGCCGACCACTATTCATACATGTAACCATAGTGTTAGGGAACCGATAGCATACTGTTTGAATACTGTTAGCATACCGTTAGCAGCGTGTCATTGACATACTGCTAAGGAGCTGTTCAACACTAACTGTGGAAATACAAATTTCATGTTTCTGATGTGGAATCATTTATTAAGTGGAACATTTATGGATTAATGTTTCATGGAATAAGATTTGGGTGATGTGCAACTACGTATTCTAGTAGTTTAACTTTGAATGTGGACAGAAGTAAATATCTAATAAACAAAACTCCACAAACTCACAGTACGCTGCAGTTGTTAGCAAATTGATACCATTAGCGACCGTTAGCATACTGTCATTCATTTAATACTTTAAAGGCAACAAAACAGGCTGTGATTGGCTGGCTGGAGACTGGGCATGTGCCATGATTGGCTGGGAGGAGGATGATATCATGTATAGTAAACTACAGATATTTACACACAACAATATTATTTACAAAAACAGGAGAAGAGACGCCGAGCAGCCATTTTATGCAGGGTTAGGCCATTTTGTGGAGGTGAGAGTACAGTGCACTATAATCGATCCATGGCACAGAGATACATGAAGAGAGTGTCTGACGCTCGCAGAAGGATAATGACGTGGAAGAGGAGTCCCAAGATGGCCACCAATTATGGTCGGCCATAGACCACTGTCTGACACGCACATGCAATAGCACCAACCTAGCAACCAGTGGGCCAATAGGGGAGCACTGCAGGTCTGTTAGCCAAAGCAGAGATTTGGACGGAAGGCTCGAAACAAAAACACGTCTGATGCTGTGTTTCAAGCTGTTACCACAAAGACCTGCTCTTACCTCTTATATGGCTCTGTTACCACAGAGACCAGCTATATGGCTAAAATAAAATGGGCGCTCGACGTCTTTTCTGTTTTTCTATTCCCTGTTTGGACCAAAAACACAAAGACGAGACGCTGAAACCCACGTGTGACGCAGGGTTAGCGGCTCGCATCTGTGCTCGCACGCTGATAAATATGTACAGGAAGTGACATCACTGAGACCCCTGCCACCAAAATAAATAGTGCGCACCGCAGAACGCAGTCTCTAGCTGTTCTTCAGCAGTGGACAGGAAGTGGGAGGGGCGGAGGCGGTGCAAGCAGCAGAAGATGACGGGAAATGTAAGAGCTGAGCCGTTTCTGCTGAGAGCTGCATACACGAGCGTAAATCCACGGTCTGGAGCGAGGAGCAGCGGCGCAAGAGCGCGACGGCCTGCTCCGACAGGCGCACGCACCCTGCAGAGAGAGGTTTGTCAGCATTTATATAACAGACACAAGAGCACTGTCCGACATGCACACACAGCAGAGAGGTCACATACACGCTGTCAACAGGCATAGAAGGTCCTTACAATAAGACAAAAGTGTAAAGGATCTATTACTGCTTAATTACCTGACATGTTTTGGCTGTAGACTTCTGCCTTTGTCCCCCCCCTGGACTGCCACCTATACGTGGTGGCAGGCCCGTCGGAAGGGCTGTGCGACCTGTGCCGTCGCACAGGGCCTCGCACCACACAGGGGCCTCGCAATCTTCCTTCCTTTTTTCATTTTCTTTATTTTAATAAATACACTAGTTCAAGGGTCCCCAAAGGGCGGACTGCGCTGAAAGTTCGGACCCCGAGACCCCTTTCTCTGGACCTCTGTGATTTCTTTTGATCAAAACAAGTACATTATTATGCAAGTAAAGTCAAATTTTCACCAAAAGCGATTTGTAAACAGGCAGGCGCGAGGGCAGCTATGTACGCAGCGGGTCCTCCGAAAAAAACTTTATGGAGCTGTAAGATAACTTTAGCAGTGTCTGGGTCTGAGTGAGGAACGAAGAAAGTAACGATGGATACTCGTGTCTTCTGTGTGAGGAGGAGGAGACACAGGTGTGTGACCAGGGGAGGAAGAGGAGGAGCAGCGAAACAGGTGTGTGAGCGCTGTTATTGTCAATGTTGAGTCCGAATATCCACATCAAAAACATAAGATAAAAGCATTAGCAAACACTGTATGCTCAGCTTTAGCGTCCACTGTGAGTGCAGTGGATTTTGGGCATAAAACCCCTTGTTGCGGTCAGAGTGTGTGGAGGAGGAGAAGGAGCGTATGTTGTCGGTGTGTGGAGGAGGAGAAGACGCATATGTTGTCAGTGTGTAGAGGAGGAGGAGCGTATGGTGTCAGTGTGTGGAGGAGGAGGAGAAGGAGCGTATGGTGTCATTGTGTGGAGGAGGAGGAGAAGGAGCGTATGGTGTCAGTGTGTGGAGGAGGAGCGTATGTTGTCAGTGTGTGGAGGAGGAGGAGGAGAAGACGCGTATGTTGTCAGTGTGTGGAGGAGGAGGAGAAGACGCGTATGGTGTCAGTGTGTGGAGGAGGAGCGTATGTTGTCAGTGTGTGGAGGAGGAGGAGAAGACGCGTATGGTGTCAGTGTGTGGAGGAGGAGGAGAAGACGCGTATGGTGTCAGTGTGTGGAGGAGGAGCGTATGTTGTCAGTGTGTGGAGGAGGAGGAGGAGAGAAGACGCGTATGTTGTCAGTGTGTGGAGGAGGAGGAGAAGGAGCGTATGGTGTCAGTGTGTGGAGGAGGAGGAGAAGACGCGTATGGTGTCAGTGTGTGGAGGAGGAGCGTATGTTGTCAGTGTGTGGAGGAGGAGGAGGAGAAGACGCGTATGGTGTCAGTGTGTGGAGGAGGAGCGTATGTTGTCAGTGTGTGGAGGAGGAGAAGACGCGTATGTTGTCAGTGTGTGGAGGAGGAGGAGAAGGAGCGTATGGTGTCAGTGTGTGGAGGAGGAGGAGAAGGAGCGTATGGTGTCAGTGTGTGGAGGAGGAGGAGGAGGAGAGTATGGTGTCAGTGTGTGGAGGAGGAGAAGGAGCGTATGGTGTCATTGTGTGGAGGAGGAGGAGAAGGAGCGTATGGTGTCAGTGTGTGGAGGAGGAGGAGAAGGAGCGTATGTTGTCAGTGTGTGGAGGAGGAGCGTATGTTGTCAGTGTGTGGAGGAGGAGGAGGAGAAGACGCGTATGGTGTCAGTGTGTGGAGGAGGAGGAGAAGACGCGTATGGTGTCAGTGTGTGGAGGAGGAGCGTATGTTGTCAGTGTGTGGAGGAGGAGGAGGAGAAGACGCGTATGTTGTCAGTGTGTGGAGGAGGAGGAGAAGGAGCGTATGGTGTCAGTGTGTGGAGGAGGAGGAGAAGACGCGTATGGTGTCAGTGTGTGGAGGAGGAGCGTATGTTGTCAGTGTGTGGAGGAGGAGGAGGAGAAGACGCGTATGGTGTCAGTGTGTGGAGGAGGAGCGTATGTTGTCAGTGTGTGGAGGAGGAGGAGGAGAAGACGCGTATGGTGTCAGTGTGTGGAGGAGGAGGAGAAGACGCGTATGGTGTCAGTGTGTGGAGGAGGAGCGTATGTTGTCAGTGTGTGGAGGAGGAGGAGGAGGAGAAGACGCGTATGTTGTCAGTGTGTGGAGGAGGAGGAGAAGACGCGTATGTTGTCAGTGTGTGGAGGAGGAGGAGAAGGAGCGTATGGTGTCAGTGTGTGGAGGAGGAGGAGGAGAGTATGGTGTCAGTGTGAGGAGGAGGAGGAGAGTATGGTGTCAGTGTGAGGAGGAGGAGGAGGAGGAGAGTATGGTGTCAGTGTGTGGAGGAGGAGGAGAAGGAGCGTATGGTGTCAGTGTGTGGAGGAGGAGGAGGAGGAGAGTATGGTGTCAGTGTGAGGAGGAGGAGGAGGAGAGTATGGTGTCAGTGTGTGGAGGAGGAGGAGAAATAGCGTATATTGTCAGTGTGTGGAGGAGGAGGAGGAGGAGAAGGGGCGCATGTTGTCAGTGTGTGGAGGAGGAGGAGAAGGAGAAGGGGCGCATGTTGTCAGTGTGTGGAGGAGGAGGAGAAGGAGCGCATGTTGTCAGACTGTGGAGGCATGGCAAAAACAAAAAAATAAATAAATACAACAAATATTGACTCCGCCTCAAAGCCATTTTGGCGCCGTAATCTAACTATCAGAAAAAGAAGACTCCTTTTAGTTCAATCTTTTGAGTTGCTCTGCCATTTTGCCACAGGACGAAAGAGCCATGTCAGCTAAAAAGACCACGACCAATATCGCAATGCCAAGCCAATGCCACCGTAAAAGTGTGTGTGCGTGCGTGTGCTTGTGTGTGTGTGCTTGTGCGTGTGCGTGTGCGTGTGTGTGCGTGCGTGTGTGCGTGCGTGCGTGTGTGCGTGCGTGTGCCCGACGCTGCATTGGAGCACACAGCTGCGCGCGTGCTGATCTCTTCACGCACTGCGTGAGGTGGTGCTGAATTTATGTCAAAGATTATAACAGGAAAAACTTTCCTGAGATCTGGGAAAAAGGTGTCAGGGCAGGGCCTCGCGTTTCAAATTCGCACTGGGCCTTGCGACGGGCCTGCGTGGTGGGGGGGTTTGAGTACTCTGATGATCCTGGGAGCTAAGTTGTCTGGGGCTTCATACCCCTGGTAGGGCCTCCCATGGCAAACAAGTCTTAGGTGATAAGTCAGAAAAAAGCGCAGTCTGAAGCCACCATGGATAGCACGACAATGACAACTGTGACGACCCTGGAGCCAGGCCGGGGGTTGGCACCAGCGAGCGTCTGGTTGCCGGGCCTTAGTCCACGGGACCCGGCCGGGCTCAGCCCAAGGAGCGCGGCCAGGCCCAGCAAAAAGGGAAGACGTGGGCCAGCCCTCCTGTGGGCCCACCACCTATGTTGGGATCCATGGTGTATCGGTGCTGAGAGGACTGGGCAGCAGTCAAAGTTCGGGGCCTCGGCAACCCAATCTGCATGCACATCTTCTGGCTGTTGGGACGTGCAATTCCCCTCACTGGAGGGGGGGGAGCTCCAGTTTGTAGGGGAAGTTGAGCGATACCGACTAGATACAGTCGGCCTCACCTCCACACACATGGTGGCCATACTCATTGCCCCCCATCTCAGCCGCCACATGTTGGAGTTCTTCCCGGTGAATGAGAGGTTTGCGTCTCTCCGCCTCCGGGTGGGGGACAAGTCTCTCACTGTTGTGACGGCCTAGGGCCAAACAGCAGCATTCTTGTAGTCCCTGGGAGGGGTACTGGATGGTGCACCGACCGGGGACTCCATTATTCTCTTGGGGGACTTCAAAGCCCGTGTGGGAAATGCCAGTGACACTTGGAGAGGGGTGATCAGGAAGAACGGCCTCCCTAAACTGGAACTGTTGTTGGACTTCTGTGCTAACACAATGTTCAAGCACAAGGGTGTCCACCAGTGCATGTGGCACCAGGACACCCTAGGCCGGAAGTCAATGATTGACTTTGTTGTCATATCATCTGATCTCCGTCCGCCTGTCTCGTACACTTGGGTGAAGAGAGGGGCGGAGCCGTCAACAGATCACCACCTGGTCGTGAGTTGGATCCGCTGGCAGGGCCCCCTGTCAGACAGACTTTCAACACACTCCTCTGGGACAGCTTCTCACAGCTCCCAGGGGAGGAGGGGGACATAGAGTCTGAGTGGACCATGTTCTCTTCCTCTATCGCCGATGCGGCGGCTCATAACTGTGGTCGCGAGGTCTCTGGTGCTGGTCCCGGCGGCAATCCCCGAACCCGGTGGTGAACACCGGCAGTAAGGGATGCCTTCAGGCTGAAGAAGGAGTCCTATATAGAGCCATAATGGTTCGTGGGACTCCTGAGGCAGCTGTCCAGTACCAGCAGGCCAAGCGTGCCGCAGCCCAGGCTGTTACAAAGACAAAAATTCAGGACTGGCAGGAGTTTGCAAAGTCTATGGAGCATGACTATCGGGCAGCCTCAAAGAGATTCTAACAAACCGTCCGGCGCCTCAGGAGGGGAAAGCAGTGCTTTGCCAACACTGTGTACGGTGCAGGTGGAGAGCTGCTGACCTCGACTGGGGATATTGTTGGCCGGTGGAAGGAATAACGTGGGGTTCTCCTCAATCCCCTGTCACGTCCTCTGTTCTGTAGGCAGAGGCTGAGGATGTTAGGGCGGATTACTTCCATCTCCCTGGCTGAGGTCACCGAGGTGGTTGGCAGCCTGGATGAGATCCGTCCTGACTATCTAAAGCTTCTGGATGTTGTAGGACTGTCTTGGCTGACACATCGCTGCAATATCCTGTGGCCATTGGGGGCGATACCAATAGAGTGGCAGACCAGGGCGGTGGTCCCACTCTACTAGAAGGGGGACCGGAGGGTGTGTTTCATTAATTGTGGGATCACACTCTTCAGCCTCCTTCAGTCTCCTCTCCTACTGGAGGAGACTTCAACCGATGGACATATCTCGGATTCGGGAGGAGTGTGGGGTGTCCTTTGGGGGATTCCCCGGGAGTACGGGGTCCGGGGTCCTCTGCTGAGGGCCATCCGGCCCCTGTATGACCGGAACCAGAGCTGCATTTGCATAGCCTGCAGTAAGTCAGGGCCTGTTCCCGGTGCATGTTGGCCTCCGCCAAGGCTGCCCTTTGTCACCGGTTCTGTTCTCTGTTTTTATGGACAGAGTGGGCGCAGAGTGGCTGGGCGCTCCCTTAGAGATAGGGCAATGAGCTCAGTCACACGGGAGGAGCTTGGAGTAGAGCTGCTGCTTTTCCACGTTGAGAGGAACCAGTTGAGGTGGCTTGGGCATTTGTTCCGGATGCCTCCCTGGGGAGGTTTTCCGGGCACGTCCCACCGGCAGGAGGCCCTGGGGAAGACCCAGGACACGCTGGAGGGACTATGTCTTGCAGCTGGCCTGGGAACGCCTTGGGGTACCCCTGGATGAGCTGGAGGAAGTGTGTGTGGATAGTGTATAGTGTCTGTGTAAGTAAGTATGGCGTCTTTGTAGTCCTGTGTGTCCATAACCTCGTGGTTCTTCCCTTCTCAGCTGGTATTATTGTAATGCGCTTGTCCCTAGTGAGTGAAACTAGAGCCCTTCTTTCCTCTTTTGACATGTTTGTACGCGGTAATTTTGCTGCTTTGAGTATTTCTGTCACTGTGTTTATGAGGTCTGCCTTCTTTCCCAGTTCGTGTATGTTAATGCATGCTAACTCCAGTTCTAATATGAAATCCTTGTGTGGTATTTGATCCTGTGTAATGGCAAAGTTTAGTCCTTAGTTAAGTCTTTTGTTCTTAATAAGTTTATTCAGTTTACTGTCACCAAAGACGAGGGAACTTTCACCTGGGCTCACACATGGGACTTTCTCCAGAGAATGAAAGCGTGACAAGGGGGGTGCAGGGGGTGCCAGTCTGGCGCATTAGATCGATCTGTCAGACTGGCCGCATCCGGTTACAACAGCTGATAAGAGATGTCACACCATCACATGTCACCTCTGACGAAGGCGGAAGTCAACAGTACAGACTGTACAGACTCAGTGTGAATCTACAATTTTCAAAATCATTAAAATAAAAAACTCTTTGAATGAGAAGGTCTGTGCTGTACCTCCGAAACAGGTTATTAAGCAGTACTAGCTTCTTTACATTTTTGTCTTAAAAGGCCTTCTAAGCCTTAAGTATAACCAGACCTAATGAACTTCATACATTTTTTGGTCTGTCTACATTTATAGAACAGACACAAGAGCACTGTCCGACACGCACAAGCAGCAGAGATCACATTTATAACAGCCCAGACACGACAGCCTTGTCGTGTTGGATGTTACGTTAGCTGAACCTCACTTAACTTACTTCAGGTAATCACATGGGTGTAACAACAATACATGTCCGGGTAAAACATAACATAGTTCCGCCTTACTAAAAATCGGACAGGGCTGGTGTGTCTGCACACACAGCAGAGATAAGTCACATTTATGACAGACAAGAGCACTGTTCTGACCGTGGTGGCGCAGGCAGTGTCAGTGCTGTTACAGTGACCATAGTGTCAGTGCTGTTATTGGGGCAACCTCACCTGCCAGCCCGAGGTGCCCGAGCCGCAGTGGGCACAGTCCGGAGGTCAGTGTGGCGATGCCCTGGTCCGACAGCAGGGGGCAGTGGCTCAGGTCCAGTCTCTGCAGATGAGGAGTGTAGCGCAGCAGTAAACGAGTCGCGGCGTCTGTCACCTCCAAACCGGCCAATCGTAGCTCAGTGACGCCCTGGAACCGCCCTCCTCTGCAGTCGCCGTGCGCTGTGGCCAATCAGATGAGATTACATGATTTACAGCAGAGCAAACAAGTATTTAGTCAGCCAACAATTGTGCAAGTCTTCCCACTTAAGACGATGAGAGATGGTTTAACCTGCAGTGTTCATTACAGGTGAACTTCAACTATGAGAAACAAAACCACACCAGACCCTCTGAGGCATGGGGGTGATAACATCATGCTTTGGGGCGCTTTTTCTACAAAGGGACCGGGACGATTGTTCCGTCTAAAGGACAAAAAGAATGGGGCCAAATATGGTTCCATCAGCAACATTTGTGTTGCCCAGCGACAGCCCCGAAACATCACTGCTGAAGAAGAGATCTGCATGGTCTGGATTTTTTCCCACTTGTTTTTTCTCTCATACTCGAGGTTTAACTAATGATTGGCAAACAACACAGAGGCTCCGGAGCTTGTGTTGCTCTTCCCGAAGAAAACTGCTTCGAAACGCTGCATTGGACCGTGTATTAAAACAAGCTGTTCACGTGACAAACGTGTCAGTGTCTCGGACGCTTTGTGTATCACCTGTGGCGGTGTGTCTAACTATTCAGTCATTGAGTGAAGAGGATGGAAGCGCTGTATTCTGGCAAAATCTAGCGGTTTAAATAACAGTTGAGAGCCATTACTTCTTCTGAGATAATAGAACCCATTCTGTGGTTAAGTTCAGCTGTCTAGCTGTACAATTATATAAGTATGTGTAAACAAGGGTGGAATGAGAATTTCTGGTGTGTAAACTATTTGTTTAAGCCAGCAATGACAACTTTTTTTTATGAAAAGACAAATGATAAAAATGTTCCGAACGGCAATTATGTTTATATTAATATGTATCCTCCTACACATTAACCTCCCCCACTTCCACCTCTGGTGACCTCAATAGAGCGCTCGGTTGCAAAGCTGCTGTCTTTTTTTTATTTATTGTAATTTATTGTATTCAGCACCAATTAATCAGGTAACAGTTGGAAATAAAACAAGAAAGCAAAAGTAAATAAATTTGATCCCTCTACCTCCCGCAACCCTCACCCCTCCCTCCCCCCGAGTTGTCCTGCTGCATGTTTTTCCCAAGACTACGAGCAGTATTTGTCTCATTACATGCCTACACATATGTACTGTCCTTTTTGAGTTCTAAAAGAGAAATAAAAACAAAAAAACATAACAGGAAAACAAAATAATGATCATAATAATAATCAGATTTTGAATTAGGATCATTAATATGGGAAAAAAAGAGAAAACAAATAATAAGAAGAAATCAAAACACCCACATATACATTCATATACATATATTCTTCTTACAATGTTCTTAGATTCAATAGATACATAATAATGTTATTCCAAATGTTGTTGATTTCCATTCTAGAGCAATTCTTCTCTTGCAAGGTCTTTTGGCTCTCAGGTAAGATACCAAAGATTGCTACTTCAGCACATGCTGTTAGTGATATAATTAGCAGCACGGTGGCTGAGTGGATATTACTCTTGCCTCTCAGCAAGAAGGTCCTGGGTTCGAATCCCGGTCCCAAGAGCCTTTCTGAGTGGAGTTTGCATGTTCTCCCCGTGTCTGCGTAGGTTTCCTCCGGGTGCTCCGGTTTCCCCTACCACTAAAAATATGTACAATAGGTCTGGCATGCGCCTCCTGTACTGGTCACCCCCACTCCCAAAAATCACAATTGTAAACCGCTTTGAGACTCAGATGTGCAGTGAAAAGGCGGTATATAAATAAAGATTACTTACTTACTACTTAAGGACTCTGATAGATGTTTACAGATCATGGCAGCGCCTTTTTTAGAGATAATTCTCAAATTTTCATGTGGGCGGAGTTAGGCTGGGCACTGGTGTTTAGTTGATCTTTGTTTGTGTACATGAACATGTTTCTAATTCCAGGCTCTAAAACTGTTTGCTCTATCACTACTTTATCACATGTATTTTTGACTGTGGGGCTTACCAGTGTGCAGCTCAGTGGGCGGGGCTTACCAGTGTGCAGCTCAGTGGGCGGGGCTTACCAGAGCGCAGTTCCGTGGGCGGAGCTAGCAGCTCCTTCAGCTGGGAGTCCTTGAGCTCCTCCACTCGGCTCAGATCCAAGAGTCTGAGTCCAGGACAAACGGTCAAACAGAGAGCGGAGACCGAAGACCAGAGACACCCAGGCAGGAAGAGCTGCTCCAGACCTGTGGGGGCAGTGATACAAAGATCTAATTAACCTGGATCTCTCCTTAATCCAGTTTAATCATATTGCATACATGTTAATCAATAGGAGCAAGAGAAAGTTGGAGCCAAACCTCACCACGAGCTCTTCCCTGGACCTGGGCCAAACATGGTCTAGGTCCAGGACTTGGTTCTGTTCTAGGTACATGTCCAGCGCCTGGTTGTAGTCTGGGTCAGGTCCAGGACCTGGTTCTGGTCTCACCTTGAAGCCGGTTCAGGAGCCACATCAGCTGCTTCTTGGAGATGTTGGTGGACCCCAAATTCAGAGACACCGGCTGTCGTCTGATGATCCCACTGAGCATGGGCGCCGTGATGGACCTCTGTCTACTCAGGTCTATGTGCGACCACAGACGTTTGTCACAGCACCTGCACACAGGAGGAGGTGAGGACCTGAGGAGGAGGTGAGGACATGAGGAGGAGGTGAGGACATGAGGAGGAGGTGAGGACATGAGGAGGAGGTGAAGACATGAGGAGGAGGTGAGGACATGAGGAGGAGGTGAAGACATGAGGAGGAGGTGAGGACATGAGGAGGAGGTGAGGACATGAGGAGGAGGTGAGGTGAGGACATGAGGAGGAGGTGAAGACATGAGGAGGAGGTGAAGACATGAGGAGGAGGTGAGGACATGAGGAGGAGGTGAGGACATGAGGAGGAGGTGAAGACATGAGGAGGAGGTGAAGACATGAGGAGGAGGTGAAGACATGAGGAGGAGGTGAGGACCTGAGGAGGAGGTGAAGACATGAGGAGGAGGTGAGGACCTGAGGAGGAGGTGAGGACATGAGGAGGAGGTGAGGACATGAGGAGGAGGTGAAGACATGAGGAGGAGGTGAAGACATGAGGAGGAGGTGAGGACATGAGGAGGAATGAAGACATGAGGAGGAGGTGAACACATGAGGAGGAGGTGAACACATGAGGAGGAGACAGGACGTGAGGAGGAGGTGAACACATGAGGAGGAGACAGGACGTGAGGAGGAGGTGAACACATGAGGAGGAGGTGAACACATGAGGAGGAGGTCACGTACCAGCGGCTCCATGTGCGGCACACCCTCATACAGACACACAGCTCGCGGTGGCTCAGGTGGGCAAACACACGGACCCAGGTGTCGCGGTGCAGGATGTGGGCGTGGCCTGTTGTCAGGGGTAACAGCGAGGGCTCGGGGCAGTGCGGGGGAGGCTTCACCAGGTGGCGCTCCAGAGGCCGGGGTGGCCGCGGAGGACAGGGTGGGGCCGGGGGTCTGCAGCGGGGAAGGGGCAGAGACACCGCAGAGCTCCCATTGGACGAGGGCAGAGAGGGGGCGGAGCCAAGGCGAGCGCCGGAGCCCGAGGGTTTAGAGCGCAGCTTTGACCGGCTCCTGGAAAACAGAACTATTAACTCACACAGGCCAATGAGGATTAGAGCCAACTCACACAGGCCATTTGAGAAAAAGCCAAACATATGCAAATGTTTTTGGTAGCGACGGCCGAGTTACCATAGAGCCAATCAGGAGCAACGCAGGTGTGTTGACGCTTGCATTATTCAAAAATGTTTTGACAAGGTTCCTGGTTCGTTAATCCTTGTATGGCACGGATCTGGATTTACTGAGACTATATCATAATGTACTGTAAACACCAGGTGCGCTAAACCACAGATTTAAGTCCAAAATGGTGAGTATGACACAAGCGGTTACTGTGTTGGAGAAGTTTACTTTTACATGCAAGTCAATAGGAGCCAAACTTGACCATGAGCACTTCCCTATTGGGCTTCATTGAACTCACGGGTTTGCATTGAGCTAGTGGGTGAGCATTGTCCATCTGTGTACTATCTATGATCAAATGATAGTGGGGCCTTCGAGGGACAGAGCAGACTAACCAATAAAGACTCATAATGAGGCGATACCGGGTCAGGGAGGTGTCTGGATGTTACAGCAGTGTCCCCCAACCTCTGGATTCCCTCAGTTGATCTCTTTTGTCATTTTTGGTATCTAAACTACTCTTTCTGAAGCCGACCGAGAGAATCCATCAGCTTCAGGAGCCATTTCAAAGATAAAACGTCTGTGATTGGTTACCTGGCTCCAGTCTTGGCCCCTGCCCCAGGAGCTGTGCCGTGCCTGTGATTGGTGGAGGCATTCTCCTTCTCTCCGCCCACTACATTGTTGCGGCGACCGTTCCTTGAGTCTGCGCCGTTGTTTCGCTGCTTGGGCACAAACACGTCATGTGGTCCAGACGCTGACATCTGATTGGACGAGAGCGGAGAGGGGAGGGACGACTTCCTGTCTCTGCGCTCCTCCTGGAACATAGTAACAGCAGAAGACATTTCAGACATTTTCACTTTCCCAAAAGCAGATCCAAGTGTCACTGGTCTGGACTACAGGGACCAGCCCTCACTGAACACGCCAACATCTTATAACCGCTAGTATAACATGACAGTTACCTTTATATAAAGTCACAAGAAAGCTTTCAGAGGATTTTCTCTGGTGACTCCCTCGCTGTGGTCTCTCTCTCTCTCTCTCTCTTTCTACGTAGTCTCTCTCTCTATACGTAGTCTCTCTCCCTATACGTAGTCTCTCCCCCTATCCGTAGTCTGAGACATACTGGGACATGAGTCAAACGCACCTCATCTTCATCAGTCTCCATGGTCTTCCTCTTGAGTGTAAGCCCCTCTCCCCTCCTCTTAGGCTCCTCCCTCTCCTCAGGGTCCTCTGCTCGTGTGGGGTCGTCTGATTCGTCGCTGGCGCTAAAGCCGAGTTCGGCCAGCCGGCGATCCCTCTCGCGCTCTCTCTCGCGCTCGCTGTACTTGCGCTCCCTGTGGGCGGGGCTAAAGGGTGAGCTGGGCGGGCTGCCTGCTCTGTGATTGGCCGAGTCGCTGTCAGAGTCACTGGAGTCTGATTCGGAGGAGGAAGAGGAAGAGGAAGAAGACAGGCGGCGTTCCAGCAGACACATGCGTTTGAACCGCTCCAGCTTCTCGCGCTGGTGCGAACGCTGGTCCTGATTGGACGAGCCAGACCCAGACGTGCCCACGCTGGAAGCCCCTGCCCCTGAGCCCTGAGCCCCGCCCCCAGAGCCAGAACCATTCTCCTCCGGTTTGGGCTTCTGAAAAACAAGTATATGGTTTGGTTTGTATGTGTTTTATAGAATTTAACACTGTAAACAGAAATAATAAAGTTCTGTCTCCTTTTCACACCACCCTGGTTCACATAAACAAAAGGTAAAGTACTGACCTTTTTGAGACGTTTCTCGTGGTTTCCTTTGATCTGAAAGAAAAACATTACAAACAGATATGAGCCACAAACAAAACTCAGATACAAGGTCCTCTGGGAGTCCGCACTAGAACCAAACACACTCAGATGTGGGGTCCTCCAGGGGTCAGCACTAGGACCAAACACACTCAGATGTGGGGTCCTACAGGGGTCAGCACTAGGACCAAACACACTCAGATGTGGGGTCCTACAGGGGTCAGCACTAGGACCAAACACACTCAGATGTGGGGTCCTACAGGGGTCAGCACTAGGACCAAACACACTCAGATGTGGGGTCCTACAGGGGTCAGCACTAGGACCAAACACACTCAGATATGGGTTAGACTGGGGTTCTTCAGTCTGCTATTCCTTGCAGTATTCCTTTCTCCTCTGTTCATCTTAGATCTTACAGACCCAACACAACACTTATGTTTGAGGTTCCTTCAGACCCAGAACCTCATTTTTGGGAACTTGAATGTGTTAGAATATGACTGCCTCTGTGAAATACAACAGTCACACACATAAAAAAAAAAGACATCACACTAGTGTCCATGCTGACCTTTTTCTTGGCATCGGGGGCGGGCTCTTTGTCCTTCTTCCTCTTGTGTCCCTCGTTGCTTCGACCCTCCGCTCTGCTCTCGTTGCTCCGCCCCTCGGCCCTTCCCTCAGCCCTCCCCTCCCCTCCTCTGCTATCGCTGCGGGACACCTCATCTCCTGCGGGTAGCGCCTTCTTCTTGGGAGGAGGCTCGTCTGTGATCTTCCACCGTCCCACCTCGCCGTTATCGAGACGCCGCTTCCCTGAGCCGTCAGTCTGGTCCTGGGACATTTGAGGAGAGAGAGGTCTGATCAGAGCGTGTGGTCCTCGGAAATGAGAAGAGAGGAAAGGAGGGAGAGGGGAGAGTGGAGCGAGAGGAATAGGCGAGGAGCGAGTAGGAGGAAGAGGGGAGAGAGAGAAGGGATTGGACCAGCCTGTGAAGCTGTCCTGATCAGATATCTACATGTTCCTGCACCTTGTGGTCAGCGGAAACAAGATTAGAGGTCACACGTTCAGACAGTCAGAGGTCACCGGGTCAGATGGTCAGAGGTCACAGGGTCAGAGGTCACAAGGTCAGATGGTCAGAGCTCCTGTACCTTGCTGGTCTTCCCCTCCTTGTGACACTTGGGACACTCCCAGCAGTTGGGGATCTCATCGTTTATGATTCCTTCAGCTTTTCCCATCTGCAAACAGGACAAGATCAGAATTATACAGTCATGACACAGACTGTATGTGTCGAGTGGATGAGCTTGTAACAGATAGTACTGTTTGGTCATGTTTAGGTGGAGCTCCAGAATAAATGTAGCTCTGGTGTAGGTGTAGCTCGGGTGTAGTTGTAGCTCTGGTGCAAGTGGAGTTCTGGTGCAAGTGGAGCTCTGGTGCAAGTGGAGCTCTGGTGCAAGTGGAGCTCTGGTGCAAGTGGAGCTCTGGTGTAGGTGGAGCTCTGGTGAAGGTCGGGTGAAGCTCTGGTGTAGGTGGAGCTCTGGTGAAGGTCGGGTGTAGGTGTAGCTCTGGTGTAGCTCTGGCACAGGAGTTTTTCCTTGCTGATGCAGGTGGGTCCAAGGACAGTGGTGATAATCCAAGACACTCGACATTCAACATTTACAGACTTTATCAACATATATGAAGATTGGTCATCTGTGTTTATCATTGCATTCCTTGTGTTTGAACTTTTTGATTCTTTGATCTGTTTTGGAAATTCCTCCAAGATATCTACTGTCGTGAGTTAGGGATATACCAAAATGGTGTGGTGTAGTTCTGGTATGATTTTGGTGTAGTTTCAGCACAGTTCTCACCTTGAGGCAGCTTGGGTGGATGATCTCATTGCAGATTGTACACTCCATGAGGCACAGGCTGAACTTGTCGTCCGGGTCGTCGACCGTGTCTTCTTTCCCGGCTTCACCGCAGGCCAGGCAGACGGCCGTGTGAGGCAGGACGGGCTGCAGGAGACACAGTGAGCCATATTACAGGGAAGGACCAATAGAATAAGAGATGGCCGGAATAAGCAACACTCCCATCTGCTTTCATTGAGCAGATCTAACAGAAGACACATCTCTCTCCACCACGCACAGACCGGTCAGAGGGCCACAGTTCTCCAGGGAGGTTAGAGGCCAACAAACCAGGACCTGAAACTGTTGTGACTGAATTCAAGCTGCTCTGAGCTTTAAAATGAGCTATTATGGAGCAGAAGTTGGCTGAATGACAAAAGACTACCAGACCAGCTACCAGTCTGTTTATACAAATAAAGCCAATGGCTGAATTCCAGAGGTTCTGAGCTTTACAATGAGGTGGCGAGGGCATGTGCTCCTGTAAATGTGTGGAGCTCCTCTGATCTGCAGAGCGATGAAATCATCTCAGCTACAGTTTCCATGGAAACAACACTGTAGTATTACTGTGAGATCAGAGCTGAGGGCAGGTGTGTGTGTGTGCTTGTGTGCTATGTGTATATTGTATGTATGTGTTGTGCGTGTGAGTGCACATGGTTCTCACCGCCGTGCACTGGCGCAGCAGACACGACTGCTTCATGCGTCCTGGTCCTCCAAATTTCTTCATGTCTTTACAGAAATGACACTCTCCACACTCTGTCCTGAGGCAGGCCTGGCACCGTCTGCACCGCGTCCTCCTTCTACGAGCGCCACTGGCCCCTGAAGCCACGCCCCCGGCCCCCAGCGGAGGGCCCTTAGCACCGGACATCACCTACACACACATGGATTTAAATCACCAGAAGCCAAAGAAAAAGAAAGAGCAAGAGAAGAGAGCCTGCAGAGAGAGACCAGAGAAACTGCTGAGAGGGACCAGACAGTGACTGGATTTGCCTTGTGCTCTTGAATATGGTGGTTAGCACTTTCACTTCAGAGAAAGAAGGTCCTGGGTTCAAATCCTGGTAGGAAGTGGAGTTTCCTCCAGGTGTTCTGGCTTCCCCTACCACTAAACATATAGGTAAAATCCCTTATCTCTGGTCCTCACCTAGACTTGACAAAGACCCTGGCGAAGGATGGGTTAAATGCAGACCGTAAATAAAGTGCACCTTATCTTAATAGCGTTTTTCAAATTAGCCACTTTTCCCATGTGCAAGGCAGGGTCAACTGTTTTTCTCTGCGTGAACACAGTTTGTTCATTCGGACTGCACATGGTGATTTTGACAAGTGTGCTACTGATGTTGTGGGTGCAATACTGTTGAGTATACATCATGTGTTTTTCATGCTTTTGCTGCTGGAGCCACAGACTGTGACAGCAACATGGACAAAAGAGACTTAAACCTAAAACACACAGTTCTGACATGATTGACAATATCACATCTGTCCACCATCGAGCAGCTGTACTCCAAATACCTACAGCTCTTCATCGCACACTGTCCTGTAAGGTGCCTGATATGTTTCCACTGTGACATTTATTCGTTCTGTTTGCTAGGACTGTTTTACTTTTATTTTTGTGATTGTGTGAGTAAAGGTTTAAACCTTTTTAATACCTATCTAAATTAATTCCAATAATGATATCAAGTACACAAATATTCCCTTGTAGTTTGATTGTATAACGATATTTTGAGCAAATTAACACAATCTGATGTAAGAGACTGCAGTATTTACAGCACTGCACACATGTAGCAGCCGTAAACACTAACCCTGTTGTGTTTCACATTAGTCGCAATGATAATGACAGATCGTAGAGGAGTGCAAGTTCCTGGGTTTAACTCTGTCTAACGACCTGAAATGGGACAAAAACACTAACCGGGTCGTTAAGAAAGCTCGTCAGCGTCTACTTACTACGGAAACAGAGAATTTACCACTAACTCTAAGATTCTGCTTCACTTTTATCGCTGCACCATTGAGAGTTTACTTGTTGGTTCTGTGTCTGTGTGGTTTGGAAACATCACAGACAAAGAAAAGAGAGCTTTAAACAAGGTGCTCCGCTCTGCAAAGAGGACCGTGGGCTGTGAGCTTTCTGTTCTGGAGGTTCTTTATAAATCCAGACTTTTAAACCGAGCTCTTAGAATGATCAATGACTCTTCTGGCCACCCTGGAAAAGCCATGTTCCAGCTTCTTCCTTCTGGCAGAAGATATCGTTCTCTGAGATGCAGGACATCTCGATATGCTAACAGCTTCTTCCCACAAGCTGTTATCAGTTTGAACAGAGCACTTTAATGATCTTGCACTTTGTATTGATACTGTCTTAGCCGATCGTTTTCACAGTGGCAATTGTTTTACTGTTTTATTTGTATGTTTCTTTCTGTAGTTTTAATGTTTTATGTCTGTACTTGTGCACACTGGGGACTTTTGCTATTGAATTCCAATGTGGTTTTTACTGCAAATGGCAAATAAAATTAATCTGATCTAAATGCAGTTTCGTCTTTGCTTTAGCCCGTGTTTATGCTGCACCTGCGCCGTGTCCTCTACCCATTGTTTACTATGGATCCACCATCACACCACTTTACGCCATATCTACACATATCATAGTGCACTTACACCACCACAGGCCTGCGCTCACTCAGCTACACACCTTCAGCCCATTTACAAAATAATTCAATATTTCTTAACTGAATTCTGCTCAGAAATGTCAAATCAGTGCAGCAGCAGCGTTAGCATCTGTCGCCAGCGGAACACAGGGGGAGCGGCTAACGGCTAACACCACATCACCTATCCACCTGCGCCGAACCGAACCCACCACAACCAACCCGTGACTGGGCACTTTCCACCCGCAGGTGTCTGTGACTGTCCCCAATGCAAGAAGTGACCCCCGCGAAAAGGAAATGTAAAAGCCAATAGCATAGAAGAGAAAGGCGACCTAGCTAAAGGGCTAACACGGCTCCAATGTTACATAAACACGCCATTCTTTGTGGATCTTTTACCTGTCATTAAACATGTACAAACCACGGGATGAATAAAAACAAGTGCAAACGTGTGGATCTCACCTTTTAATTTCCTTGTGCATAACCTCTTGGCGAGCATCGGCTTTTATGCAGTGGTTTCTGAGGATGTAGTTAGCAGCTAGCACCCGTTAGCATCACAGTACAATGCAGCGCTCCCATGTTGTTGTGTTAGCGGAGCGTTCGCGTTAGCTCCCGGGGTTCTGGAGGGGGTCCTGCGGGGTTCTGGGGGCTCGTGGATCAGGGCTGCTGCAGGTGAAGAGTCCTGCGGGGGAACAACGTCTATTTCTCTGGCAAAGACACACGCACACACCGCCACTGCTGCTGGAAGAGCGAAGGACTACACACGCAAGGACTACAAACATGGCGGAGTGGAGACGTAAAACTGTAATAAATAGATAATTACTGAGAAAAAATTTTTCTTCTTGTTTTTAGCTCCACCCCACACAAAGGGTGTCTTCCTGCTGCTGTCAGACTGTACGATGAACACCCAGTACTGTGAGTTAAGATAATAGATAAGTTAAGATAAGATTTGACGAATTCTGTAATATTGTGTGTCTGGACCCCCCTCTGTCTGTTTTACCTATTTACAACTGTGTGTGCGCATCAAGATTCTCGCATTGGGGTTTGCAGTTTCCACTCACTCCAGTAGGTGGCGTGAGACTGCTGGTAATTGTCATGTCATGCCAATGGAAATCCGAGCTGCCACCCAAGTCTCATAGCACCAGTCCCTCACTGATCCTCCTGCAGGTGATGGATTCTCTAGTAAGTAAGTAAGTAAGTAAGTATTTATATACCGCCTTTTCACTGCAGATCTGAGTCTCAAAGCGGTTTACAATTGTTATATATATTTTTTTTGGGGCATTTGTCTCTCACTCCACACAGAGATGGGAGCGGGGGCACCAGTACAGGAGGCGCATGCCAGACCTATTGTACATATTTTTAGTGGTAGAGGAAACCGGAGTACCCGGAGGAAACCTACACAGACACGGGGAGAACATGCAAACTCCACTCAGAAAGGCCCTGGTCCGACCGGGATTCGAACCCAGCTGAGAGGCGAGAGCGCTATCCACCAGGGACACAACGACAGCAGACATCAGTGGGAGCAGGTGACATGCGTCGTGGTGGGCACAAAACCCAGGACCATTGGGTCCAAAGACCAGTGCTCTACTAACTGAGCTACTGTCGCCCCTGGTGATTGTTCACAATTGGATTTTAACATTAATATTAAGAGATCCTTTATTCGTCCCACAGTGGGGAAATTTCAGTGTTGCATCACAAGTTATACAACAGTTGGAAAGAGGAGCACACAGCACAAGATAAGGTACGTGAACAATAGCTCTACTAATCAAATAAAACAAAATCTCTAACTCTAGCATCAATAACAAGTATAAACTCTCTATCTTGAAAATAATAATAATAATAAAAAACGGTAAAAGTTTTACATTTGGCAAAATAAGAGGCAAGTATAAAGTACTGTGTATTCTAATGCAAGCAGAGTGTAGTTATATGTTAGCGTCTGTACATTAGCAGCAGTATGTTTGCATCTGTACATGTTAGCAGCAGTATGTTTACACCTGTACATGTTAGCAGCAGTATGTTTACATCTGTACATGTTAGCAGCAGTATGTTTGCATCTGTACATGTTAGCAGCAGTATGTTTACATCTGTACATGTTAGCAGCAGTATGTTTACATCTGTACATGTTAGCAGCAGTATGTTTACACCTGTACATGTTAGCAGCAGTATGTTTACATCTGTACATGTTAGCAGCAGTATGTTTGCATCTGTACATGTTAGCAGCAGTATGTTTACATCTGTACATGTTAGCAGCAGTATGTTTACATCTGTACATGTTAGCAGCAGTATGTTTACACCTGTACATGTTAGCAGCAGTATGTTTACATCTGTACATGTTAGCAGCAGTATGTTTACATCTGTACATGTTAGCAGCAGTATGTTTGCATCTGTACATGTTAGCAGCAGTATGTTTGCATCTGTACATGTTAGCAGCAGTATGTTTACATCTGTACATGTTAGCAGCAGTATGTTTGCATCTGTACATGTTAGCAGCAGTATGTTTACATCTGTACATGTTAGCAGCAGTATGTTTACACCTGTACATGTTAGCAGCAGTATGTTTACATCTGTACATGTTAGCAGCAGTATGTTTGCATCTGTACATGTTAGCAGCAGTATGTTTACATCTGTACATGTTAGCAGCAGTATGTTTACACCTGTACATGTTAGCAGCAGTATGTTTACATCTGTACATGTTAGCAGCAGTATGTTTACATCTGTAGTACAGATGTAAACATACATGTACAGATTCTGTACATGTTAGCAGCAGTATGTTTACATCTGTACATGTTAGCAGCAGTATGTTTACATCTGTACATGTTAGCAGCAGTATGTTTACACCTGTACATGTTAGCAGCAGTATGTTTACATCTGTACATGTTAGCAGCAGTATGTTTACATCTGTACATGTTAGCAGCAGTATGTTTACACCTGTACATGTTAGCAGCAGTATGTTTACATCTTTACATGTTAGCAGCAGTATGTTTACACCTGTACATGTTAGCAGCAGTATGTTTACACCTGTACATGTTAGCAGCAGTATGTTTACATCTGTACATGTTAGCAGCAGTATGTTTACACCTGTACATGTTAGCAGCAGTATGTTTACATCTGTACATGTTAGCAGCAGTATGTTTACATCTGTACATGTTAGCAGCAGTATGTTTACATCTGTACATGTTAGCAGCAGTATGTTTGCATCTGTACATTAGCAGCAGTATGTTTACATCTGTACATGTTAGCAGCAGTATGTTTACACCTGTACATGTTAGCAGCAGTATGTTTACATCTGTACATGTTAGCAGCAGTATGTTTACACCTGTACATGTTAGCAGCAGTATGTTTACATCTTTACATGTTAGCAGCAGTATGTTTACACCTGTACATGTTAGCAGCAGTATGTTTGCATCTGTACATGTTAGCAGCAGTATGTTTACATCTGTACATTAGCAGCAGTATGATTACATCTGTACATTAGCAGCAGTATGTTTGCATCTGTACATGTTAGCAGCAGTATGTTTACATCTGTACATGTTAGCAGCAGTATGTTTACATCTGTACATGTTAGCAGCAGTATGTTTACATCTGTACATGTTAGCAGCAGTATGTTTACATCTGTACATGTTAGCAGCAGTATGTTTACATCTGTACATGTTCGCAGCTGTATGTTTACGTATGTTTGTTGTACAGTCTGACAGCAGCAGGAAGGAAAGACCTGCGGAACCTCTCCTTCACACATCGAGGATGAATCGGTCTGTCACTGAAGCTGCTCTCCAATGTGGCTGTTAGCTGTTAAGATAAGATATACCTTTATTCGTCTCACAGACAGTGGAGACATTTCAGTTTTGTGGTGTCTTGTTAAAAGTAAAAGTGGAAAACTATGAGTCACTACCTGATTCTTTGGGCTGGGAGCCGGTGGTCCTCTGATCTGAAGATGATATATATGCCTCTGAAAACGAGTAATATAGAATAATAGAAGCAAACTGTTTTAGAGCCAGGGACTAGAGTTTTTTTGCACAGTCCGAGCGGAGCCTGCAGGGACAGGAGTAGGGGTTGAGCAGTGCAGTTCACGACTGTGGTTTCCCTGGTGCCTTTGAGCCTCACACTCAGGTTCCTGCTGACTCTACTGTTCTGCTTTTGTCTTGAGGCAGAGTCTCAGGAAAAGGTCCACACACACACACACACACACACACACACACACATACATACACACACATATACACGAACACACCAATATACAGGTATACACAGTTACACAGTACACAGTTACATAAACATAATGTACCTGGGAGATTTAGCACCTGTGAGCCCTGGCCAATCACAGCGCAGCCTGAGCCCCTCCCTCTGCTCTGGGCCAATTACGTGTCTGCGTTTGAACCTGTTATATAACACCCACCCCCTGGAGCTGTCAGTCAAAATGCAAACATTAGAATAAAATGTGTTTGACAAGATGAGACCAGCTCCCTAACAGACTAGCTCTACCTGCAGGCCCTGAGGAGAACTACAGACCCCCCTCCAACAGACGATGAAGACGAGAGACTCAGACCGGGTCATGAACCTGCTCCTGAACCTGGACAAGGTCATCAGGAAGTCCAGCTTTGTCCTGGGGTGTTCCCTGGACACAGTGCAGCAGGTGACAGAAGAGTCCTGGACAGACGAACATCTACGCTGGATCATGACTGTCGCCCCCTGCAGGACACTCTGCCTTCACCCTCGCTGTGTGAAGGAGAGGTTCAGCCGGTCCTTCCCCCCTGATTAGGGGTGGGAACCTCAGGGTACCTCACGATACGATGTGGGATACAAAGCTCACGATAACAATTATCTCACGACATGACGATGCAGCGATTATCGATATATTGGTCAAAAATATACCTACAATAATATTTTTCTTATACTTATGGCATAAATTAAGTGAAAAAATACACTTTATTTCAAGATAAATGGATAAAGCCTCTAGTGTGTATTAAAGTGAACAAGCAAAAATGCCTTTCAACCATTTTAGTAAAAATCTTACTAAATCTGTCTTACATCCAATAAAATCAACATGAACATTCTACAGAAATTGTAGAATGTTCATGTAATGTAGCCATATATTAAGTAACAACACTTTTTTTCAAGTAAAGCTTAAAAAAAAAGATACATTTTTTTTTTTTAAATCAATACAAAAGCATATTGATAATCGATTGCGTGAGAAAGTATCACGATACATCACCATATCGATATCGAGTCACTTTATCTCTTGTTATTACTGCATCATTCAGATCCATTCATCTGATATTTCTGTCACTATTGTTTATTCTGTTCATATTCTCTGCTGCTAATGTACGGGGCGGAGTGGATAGCACTCTCGCCTCTCAGCAAGAAGGTCCTGGGTTCAAATCCTGGATGAAATGGGGTTTGCATGTTCTCCCTGTGCTTGTGTAGGTTTCCTCCAGGTACTCCGGTTTCCCCTACCACTAAAAACATGCGCACTAGGTAAAATCCTCCAGCTCTGGTAGTCCTAACCAAGCCGAGCCTCAGCATCTGGAGATGGGTTCCCGGGCGCTGTTACTACGGTGACCACTGCTCCTGACGTAAACCTTAGTGGCATCAGGATGGGTCAAATGCAGAGGATGAATTGCCCTACGGGGATTCATAAAGTGCACATCTGTGAATACCTCTGTACCAATTATAGCTCCAGAGTTTTATTTGATTCCATTTTATCATCCTATTACTTATTTTATTATTTGAATGGTATTAATCTGAGTGCTCTTATTTCCTACTTTTTTTCTGCTGTAATGTGCGCATCAATGATATTGAAATTCCCCCACTGTGCGACGAATAAAGAAATATCTTGGCTATGGTCTGGATCCTCAGGGCCCTCTTGTTCCTCTGTCAGCATATCTGCAAGTTCAAACCTGCTGCAGTTTCAGGCCTCGCTTCTCAAAAGTTCAACTAAATCAGATTCTGACAGATTTAGTTATTTTAGCAAATCCACCTGAGGTTTGAATATGTTAATATAGAAACCAGAGGGAGACCAGAGAGATAGACCAGAAAGACCAGAGAGAGACCAGAAAGAGAGACCAGAGACAAACCAGCAGACCTCAGAAGCTTAGTAGGGCAGGGCCTGGCTAGTACTGTGATGGGAGACCTCTGGGAACAGGTGTGACTGTGAGGCAAAACTCTTCACCCACATTAGAGTCTGGGGCGTGTAATGGTGGTCAAGGGGCCAATGGCTACAACAGTAGTTTAACACCAGTGTACGGAGGGAATGTAGAATCCTGTCAAGCATCTGGGACCGTATAGAAGAGCTCTGCATAAAACCAGTAACTGATAATTATTCTGAGTTGAACATTTGAACCTGTGTTTATGTAACGCTGCTGTCAGAGAGGTGCTTCCCCTATAGAGATATCCTGTTCTGTCAGACCTCAGGGGAAAGGGGATGAATTTCTCATCTTTCCCAGAAACTCAGTGACTGGAGGCTGGGCAGGTGTGTGTGTGTGTGTGTGTGTGTGTGTGTGTGTGTGTGTGTGTGTGTGTGTGGTGTCACCTGGACCCCCCTACATAAGCCCTGCCCCTCTCTCCCCTACACAAGCCCCACGCCCCCTCTCTCCCCTACATAAGCCCTGCTCACAGCTCTCTCTGCACACTTGGTCACTCCGGTCTCCCATCGCCGTCAAGATGCAGATCTCGTCTCGCAGCAGCTCCGGAGGCTTCTCTATGGTAGGAGGAAGCTCCGGAGGCTTCTCTATGGGGGGAGGAAGCTCCGGAGGCTTCTCTATGGGGGGAGGACTCTTCGGAGGCTCCTCTATGGGCGGAGGACGCATGAGCTCCTTCAGCATGAGCGGGGGAGCCGGAGGGAGCGGGGTGAAGGTGTCCACTGCCTTTCGGCAATCAGGTGAGGGTTACCAGAACGAGACCAGAGATATTTTTGTTTGTTTGACTACAGCAGCAGCAGGAGCAGCAGGAAGAAAGGGCTGTGACATGTATCATCTCTTTTGACAGGAGGAGCAGGCCAAAGCTGGGGCAGCGGATTCGGGGCCGGGGCTGGGGCTGGGGAGAGTGCGGTCATCATTAACGAGAAGGCCTCCATGCAGAACCTGAACGACCGTCTGGCTGTGTACCTTAGCAAGGTCAAGTCTCTGGAGACCGCCAACGCTGAGCTCGAGCTGAAGATTCACCAGTTTGTGGAAAGTAGAGTGGGACCAGCCACAAGAGACTACAGCGGCTTCTACGGGACCATCAGTGACCTGCAGGCCAAGGTACAGGGGGGGAGGCCAAGGTACCAGGGGAGAGGTGAGAGAGGGCTGAGACGGGTACAGCAGATCTACAGGAGCATCAGCGACCTGCAGGCCAAGGTACACCCTGTAGGTGAGAAAGGGCGGAGGAGAGAGGGGAAAGTCAAGTTACCAGGAAAGAAGGGAGAGAGGGGCAAGAAGCCAAGGTACCAGGGGAGAGGGGGGACAGCGACTTCTAGGGGAGCATTGGCGACCTGCACGCCAAGGTACAGGGGGAAAGAGGCAGGGCGGGGCAAAGGTACCAGAGGAGGTGGGGAGAGGGTGTGCAGTAAAGATGGGAGAGAGATGGGAGAAGAAGAGGGGCCAATGTAAAAGGGGAGAGAGGCCAAGGTACAAAGAGACAGAGGGGAGAAGGTGAGGTCCTGGGCCCTAAGTTTGGGTTTTTGTCCTGGTCTTGGCCTTAGTTTGGGTCCTGGTCCTAAGTAACAGTCATTTTTGTCATGGTTCAGATTCTTGGCGCCATCATCGCTAAAGGAACCGTGATCCTCAGCATTGACAATGCTCACCTGGCCCAGGATGACTTCAGGGTCAAGTGAGTACTACTACCAGTACTACTAATACTACTATTATTACTACCACTGCTAGTACTCTCACTGGTCATGACCCATGGGCTCTCTCACAGGTGGGAGAATGAGCTGGCCATGCGTCAGTCCGTGGAGGCCGACATCGCGGGGCTGAAGATGATGTTGGGAGAACTGGGGATGACCAAAGCCGACATGAGTCTGCAGATCGATGGCCTGAAGGACGAGCTGGTGTCTCTGAAGAAGAACCATGAAGAAGTGAGACCACTGCTCTACACTCTGGAAACTGTTTATGAAATGTTCTATATAATTCATGTGGCTTGGAGTGGATAGACCTCGTCACACAACAGATGATACACTCTAGACACCTCTCTGTGAGCTGCACAAATGTCCTGATTGTCTCTCTCTGTGAGCTGCACAAATGTCCCGATTGTCTCTCTCTGTGAGCTGCACAATTGTCCCGGTTGTCTCTCTCTGTGAGCTGCACAAATGTCCTGATTGTCTATCTCTGTGAGCTGCACAAATGTAAACTGATTGTTTCTCTCTGTGAGCTGCACAAATGTCCCCTGATTGTCTCTCTCTGTGAGCTGCACAAATGTCCCGGTTGTCTATCTCTGTGAGCTGCACAAATGTAAACTGATTGTTTCTCTCTGTGAGCTGCACAAATGTCCCCTGATTGTCTCTCTCTGTGAGCTGCACAGATGTCCCCTGATTGTTTCTCTCTGTGAGCTGCACAGATGTAACCTGATTGCGTGTTTGTGCAGGACCTGCTGGCCATGCGCTCCCAGATGAGTGGTCAGGTGAACGTGGAAGTGGACGCTGCTCCTCAGGAGGACCTCACCAAAGTCATCGAGGAGATTCGAGAACACTATGAGGCCGTTGCCGCCAAGAACCAGAAGGAACTGGAGGGATGGTACCAGAACAAGGTACCTATGTCTGGCACACTCTTTTAGACGCGGTTTACTCCTGGTTCTGATCCATCTTTCTCTCCAGTCCGAGGTTCTGACCCAAGAAGTGACCACCACAGAAATGACCCTGAAGTCATCGACATCAGAGGTCAAAGAAGTGAAGAGCGCTCTGCAGGCACTGGAGATTGAGCTTCAGTCCATGCTCAGTATGGTGAGTCCTTAGACCTGGTTCAGACCTTGTTCAGACCTGGTTCAGAACTGTTTTTTTGTGTCCGCAGAAAATGTCTCTTGAAACCACACTTGCTGAGATTCAGGCTAGATATGCAGGACAGCTCAGCAACTTCCAGATGAGGGTAAGTCCTACCTCTTACATCCTACCTCCTATCTTCAACCTCCTCTCTCCTACATCCTACCTCCTATTTTCAACCTCCTCGCTCCTACATCCTACCTCCTATCTTCAACCTCCTCTCTCCTACATCCTACCTCCTACATCTTACCTCTAACACCCTACCTCTGATCTACTATCCTCTACATCCTAAGATATACTTTATTGATCTCAGAAAGGAGAAATTTACATGCTCTCTCACAGGTTTCTAGGAGCAGTTGGTCTCTCTTAGAGCTGACTCTGTAGTTACCATGGTGACTCTCTCACAGGTCTCTTCTATGGAGGAGCAGTTGGTCTCTCTTAGAGCTGACTCAGAGCGACAGGGGCAGGAGTACAGCATTCTTCTCGACATCAAGACTCGTTTGGAGATGGAGATTGCAGAATATCGTCGCCTGCTGGACGGAGAGGGGATGGGCAGGTACCTGTTCTTGTATCAATCTGAATGCTCTCCTCTGAAACTCTCCTTATGTTGAACGCTTGCCTCTCAAACTTATTACAGTACAAACTGTTTTCTGTTTTTGAACATTTTCATTTTGAAAATCTCTTACATGCAACACTGCACCATGTCAATACTTTAGTTACAGATACTCAAACTCAGTTATCTGCCTCTAAAACAAAAGTATTGCAGATCAATTAGTTCTGGTGATTTCTCAGGTGACATTAAGGGTGCTTTCACACCTGTTGGTCCAGTAAAGTGGTTCGCTTGGGCCCTAAAGTTGTTACAATGTTGCAGTTCTCAACTAGTTCGGTTCTCATTCACACCAGTGTTTTTGCAAATGAACCAACCACTGTAGATGTTACATATTCCCACCACCCATGTGGTGGCGCTGTTCACAAAATACTGTGTATTGGATGACGTATGTGACTGCGCTACTCTGCGTTTTTTGGCAATTTTTTATCATCGTTGCTTTGTGCCGCACAAATACTGTTGTTCCAGTATGTATCGCGGATTCAGCACGAGAACAATCTGCGGGTGTTTTTGACGATTCAATCATATAAAAAAACAATGTGTGTGTCAAAAAGTGAGCTACGCAACAGAGCAGGGCCACATTGAGGCCGGTCTGCGTTCTCACCAGCAGCGAACCAGCCTGGAGTCCACATGGAACCGCACCGAGACCAGCTCCATATGGTGGTCTCGGTGCGGTTCTTTAGTCCGGACCAAATTTAACTGGTCCACTTTCCCACCTGCTCAAACGAACCGTACTTGCAGGTGTTCCAGACTCGAGTCCGCTTTAAGTGGACTAAATGGTGCAGGTGTGAAAGCACCCTTAGGGCTTAATAATCACATTTGCAGCTCCCTCTGGTGGCAGCATAGGGAGTTACAGGGAGCTATGACTGCAAATCCTACTGAGGCAGAATAAGGACTTACTGGCTGAAAGCATTTTTTACCCTTCATACTTGTTTCCTACTGAAGATATGATGTCACAAGAAATGAATCTCTCATTATGATATAGTCTTAATATTGTGTCGTATTTTGTCTTTACACCTAAAAGTGTGATGTGTGTAATTCTGCCACATGAATAAAACAGATCATCCTTATTTTCATCATTAGTATTGTTTTTTATTAAAACAAATAAATAATATGTGTATAAATACTTGTTTATATGTTTGACGTTTTGATGATTATTGTTCTTTTTATTATTATTAATACTATTCCTGACCAGTCTTTGTCCCTCCTCTTCAGCGCTGTCTCTTCCTCCATGTCCTCATCCTCCATGTCCTCGTCCTCCATGAACTCGACCTCCTCAACCACTACTACCACAAAAATCGTGACTGTAGTGGAGGAGGTCATCTCATAAACCTGCGACCCATATGAACCAAGCCACGGCCACAGGAAGCAGACCACCATGTGACCCAAGTCAAGCCCACAGGAAGCACACGCCAACCATTTGAGTGTGTCCCCTGTCTGAATCTGCAACAATAAAAAACGCAAAAAATAAGGTTGCATCTGTGCTTTTTATCAAAAACTCAAACTTCACATAAACAAGCTGCAATCTGTACCCTAAAAGATGGGGCTCGTAACCTTAAATGGGCTAGAACTCGGTTGTGATCAGGTCAAGGCTGTGTCCGTAGTTGTAACCAGCTCTAGAGTATGTCCTCTGCTGTGACCAGGTCGAGAGAGTCGTCTGTTGTAACCAGGTCTAGAATGTTACCTCTGTCATCACCAAGTCTTGGGTATGTCCTTTTATGAACAGGTCTAGAGTGTGTCCTCTGTTGTGACCAGGTCTAGAGTGAGGTCTCTGTTGTAACCAGTGGGGGCGGGTCCTGGCTCAAAAGTGGCCAAAATGACATGCGCTGACATGCTTGCAATACCACCCCGGGCCGATGGGGGTGGACCCAGAAGAAGAATTAGCCAACGTCTTAACGTCTTTACAGGTTGGTCCAAAAGCTGTCTCTTGACCCAAAGCTCCGTTCCACATGTGTGTCAATGCTGAGGGGGGTGAATTTTTTTGGACCACTCTAGTTTACTTGCTGTGAATTTTTGAAGTTCTCTCGTTCAAATGAATGGAGCTGCGCCAGCTGACGCATGCGCAGATGCGTTTTTTCACAATTTTCTTGAGGGCGGGACCACTCGCGGCCATTTTGGATAGCTCCAGTAGAGCATTATTTTTGGCCCATTAGTTAGAACGGCGGAGATAGGCGTGACTCTGTCCGTTAATATATACAGTCTATGGTTGTAACCAGGTTTAGAATGTGACCTCTGCCAAGTCTTGGGTGTGTCCTCTATTATGACCATACCTAAAGTATGTCCTCTGCTGTGACCAGGTGTAGTGTGTGTCCTCTGCTGTGAGTGACCAGGTTAACACATTATTTTTTTATTCTAAAACATTAAATTCCAAAGTAGACATTGATCACACAGATTTCTGGTTAGCTTGTTTATTAACTCTTTGTGGTACACATGGCTGCTGCGTTGGAACTTTTATTGTGAATAGTCAGTCATTTTGGCAGCTTTTATTGTGAATGTCCTGGACACAGTGACACGGTGAGCGGCTCTTATTGTGAAAGGTTGGTTTGGTCCCACTAGTTTACGGCGTCGACATGAAAATCCAGGAATGTCCCAAAAATGTACAAATATAAAAAATAACAAGATTAAAATCCGGCTCTGAGCGTCGGAGGCACTTTTACACCAAAACACCAAAAACACTGCACGAGTTTCACATGGACGATCAGCGTTTGAGGATTTTACCAAAATACTATTAGAAAGCGCATGTAGTGGTGCCACTTGCAGGCAGAACAGGGCCTGGATTTGTAAAACTGTAGAGCAAGTGCTTTCCATATTCAGCCTAAAAAATAATTAGACAAAACCAAATATTTTTTATCTTTTATAAATACGGCCCCAGGTTTAGACAGAGTGTAGACCTGGTTATAGTCCAATTTGGGCCGTGATTTTGGACCTAGTCTTGGCCAGTACTAGTCCTGGTTTAGGAATTCACCTTAAGACACAGAGAGAGCGCCCTCTGCTGCTCTGAGTCCACACACACACACATACACACAAACAGCGCCCTCTGCTGGTCTGAGTCCACACACACACAAACAGACACACGCAGAAACACACACAGACAGCGCTCTCTGCTGGTCTGAGTCCACACAAAGGCTTATTTACAGATGAACCAAAGAAACCATTTAATACAAAAGTAACCAATTCTTCCTGTTGTCATTGATGCAAACCCTGATTTTAAACTGTGTCTTTCATCTCTTAAGAGCTGGGGTACGTAACTTTGAGACCACAGTAATCAAACTCTGTAATTAACCCATGTCTCTAGTTCCTGGTTCTGAAACATTTTGCATCTATCACTAGTTTTCACGTAATGCATGTTGGACCCTGTCACATCTTAAGATCCGCATTTTCAGAAAGAAAAGTGAAAAAAAGAGGACCACCCTCACTCAGCCAATCAGTTCTCAGACCAAAGAGTCAAATAGTAACTCACAGGGTTCTTTCTAACACTAAAGATGTTATCTAATAATGAAGACAGCATGTTGTGGTCTGATTTTCATAACATTTTACTTTAAGACTTTTTCTGTTGGACAAACTACAAGTGTTATTGATCTTTTGTGTAAGAGAGAGCCCTGTGTGTTACCATTTGAATCTGTGGGCTGAGAGCTGGTGGTCCTCTCTGATCTAAAGATGTACAAAGGATAAAAAAACGTAGTATGATAAGCCAGGAACCAGTGACGTGGGATAAATTGTGCTTTTTGCCTCCATAATCTTAATCCTTTTCAAAGTGTGCAGCTGCTTCTGTGTATGAATAGCGCCATCTGCTGGTGAGTTATTCACAGATTTACAATGTTCTTAATATAATAATGCTGATAATGTTGAGCTACAGGGGGCGCTGTAGAGCGGTGTGACTAAAGGAATGTATCATGAATGTGTGATGTTCTGTGGAGGGTGTTGCTGCTTAAACCCCTATCCACATGGACTAGGGGCCACTCGCGGTACTGCGGCCTAAATCTACATGGACTAGAGGCCACTCGTGGTACTGCAGCTTAAATCCATGTGCTGTAAGGAGATTTCCCCTCGGTGTTCACTAAAACTTAAGCGACAGGAAACCACAGCGTCCACACAAAGGATGATTTTATGAGGATATTTGATTGTTTTCTATAAATCACACTTTAGTGCCACAAACTCAACTTGTTCTAGCTCCGCTCTAATTGGTCAGAACACTCACATGTCCCTCTGTGTGGGAGCATGAGAGCAAAGTGAGCGATATGATTGATCACAATGCTCATGTGTTAGTCTGGTCCTGCAGATGTAGAACCACTGCACACCTACTGCACCGGGAGAGAACCAGACCTGGCCAGAACATGTAATTTCTGTCTGAGCTTAGTTTGACCGGTGCCTGTTGGACACTCATATGTTTGTGTTTGAATGTGTAATGTTTGTAGAACCGAGGACAGCGCCCCCTGCTGGTCTGAATCTTGTGCTCAGTTTGTTTTTCTCAGTCAACATGACGACACAAACACTTGCATAAAGAGCCGGATACGAGGCCCGTTATAAAAACATGAGAATAATACAAAAGATAATACTGCCCCCTGCTGCGGCCGCTGGGAGACTGCGCCCTCTGCTGAGGTAACTGAGAACAACGCACAGGAGTAGTGATACTAGAGTACTGACGTATTGTGAAGCACACAAACATAAACTGTGTCTTGCAAAAGTGTTCTTAAATGAGGTAATAGCTTGTGGAACCCCCTCTTTCTCTGCACATCTAGAAACGGAAAGTTTTGCCAGTTCCCTCTTTACAGAACAGCTCAGTCGGATCAAACACTCTCCGGCCATACACTATATACAGATGGACAATGCTAACCCGCTAGCTCAATGCTCACACGCTGGCTCAATGAAGCCCAATAGGAAAGTGCTTTGACTTCAGGTAAAAGTAAAGCCCTCTAGGTCAGAAACCGTTTGCGTCACACATCTTGGGTTTAAATCTGTGGTTTAGCGCTCTCTGTGATCCTGGTGTTTACATTGTGATATTGTCTTTGTAAATCCAGATATGAGCCATATAAGGATTGACCAATTAGATGCCTTCATTCACAGGGGAAACTCCAGCTTGCCTTAGCAACAATTGCCCATATAGGGATACTGGCTCCAGCTAGCTTATGTTCCTATACATAGTTCCCACATGACGTCACTACATACGGGGATTTGCCGACCCGGCGCCATTTGTCTTGGCATTCTGTGGGCAAAACAATAGAAAAAGAAGCTGAAACGTGTTAATGTCGTGATAAAGTTGAAAATGGTCATCTCCTGCTGGGTCAATGGATGTTCAAATCGTGCCGGAGGTTCTGTTAAACTTAGATTTTACAGTATACCCATCATTAGACTTCATGAATGTGAGAAGACTAAGCTTTTGTCAGAACAACCACGGAGGTTATGGCTTGCGAAGATAAACAGGCAAGAAACTCCCTCAAAACACGCAAGAATATGCTCGGAGCACTTTGTGTCAGGTGCGTATCGTATCTTATAATGTGTTGACAGACGTAATTTACTCAGTACTAACTTGTGTATGCTGATAGCTGGTAACTTGAGAGTTTCATTATTTAGCGTTAGATTACTTTATTATGAGGAGGATCGGTGTCGCGTCCGAGGCTCTCGAGGGCAACGTAAATGTATTAAATAGATAATAATAGTTCTATGGTGGGCTAAAACAATGTTCACAAACAGCATTGCTTCTGTAAAAAGATCTGTGTCATAAAATAAACTGCTCTTTACGCCTGGAAAAATCAGTTGCCCACCATTCACCAAAACATACGGTCAAAAACGCGGAAATAAACAATAACAGCAATCCAGAGTGTCCGTGTGGCATTAGCATTAATTAAATTAATTGTTAAAATAATTAAAATAATTAAATGGAGCTCCAACTGGTATTAAATCTAAAGTTTTTGAGAAATGTTTGCATTGCTTGTTAATTTTTGCTGCATAATTTGATCAAATATGTAAAACATGTCCGTAGCACGTTAAACTGTGGTGCCATTGTATTAATATACAATTATTTGCTCAAAAGTTGCCCTTTTTTTTCCAATTTGCGTTTGAATATCTACATTTATTCTCATTCTTCTGTTTAATGGAATGCACAAACACAGCAGCGTGCCATCAAAGATGGCGTCTCCGAGGAGGTCATGTGACATTCATTGGTCTGTGGGAACTATGTATAGGCTAACACTATTAAGATAAGATAAGAGATCCTTTCTTTGTACCACAGTGGGAAAATGTTGATGTTGCAGCGCGCATACAGGACAGTAGTAAGAGCACACGTGGAGCACACAAAATTTACAATATAAGTAGCTGCTATGCTTCTTAGCTAGCTGTACAGTAGATGGTCCCTAGTGAAGAAAAGCAGCTCCACAGCATGATGCTACCACACCCCTCCCTCACACTGTCGAGCAGTGTTCGTGTTGGTCTCCTCTGTGTTCCCCATATGACTCCTCCAAACTGGATTCTCTGAAGTAATAAGTAATCCAGTATGAATACTACCAAAATACTGATACTAAAGTCAATAGAAGCCAAAGCGAGTTGGAGCAAAACTTTGTCCATGTGCAATTCCCTATTGGGCTTCATTGAGCTAGCAGGTTAGCATTGTCCATCTGTATACAGTCTATGGTGACTGTGTCTGTTGGAAACTCGACACTAAAACAAACATTGTACTAATACTTTTGCAAGGCACAGTATGTCCGCCCTGTGACCTGTGTCCCTACACCTGTTCAGGAGAATATTCACATGACTATTGGAATAAGAGACGACCAGGAAGAGCAGCACCCCCTTTTGTGGTAGAAGCAGGACATTACACTCTGCTTTAGTAACTACATCAGGGGGCGATCTCACTGAAGCCAGCTGACATGTGACCGGACACTGAAGGTGCAGCTGCAGGTCTGTGATGAGGACTGTGCTCATCCTGGTCATCTCTTACTCCATTAAACACTAGAGCATTCTCTGTGTGAGCGACAGACACATTTCACTTGAAGCTGTGGTGGAACTGTAAACACTGAGATGAAAGACCCTGTTCCCCCGGAGGCACAGAGGGGAGGGGCCTATTGCTGTGGCGACCGTGCCGGTGGCCATCTTGTGAGAAGGAGCAGGATTCTCATAGGAAGTCAAGTGAACAAAAGGGTTCTGACCACAGTTACAGATGATTTCTGACTAGTTTGAGGCAGAACTCATCGTGAAGAAGAAACTGAGGTTTTGGTTTGATTTGAAAAAGTAAAACTGCTCATGATTAATTCCGGTTCAACAGCAGATTAACAGCATTGATCTTGAGAATGCCTTTTGTTTTTATTTTTTCCCTGATATATTGATGATTGAAAACAGAAATGTGCCTTCCCCTAAAAGGTTATATTTCTGTAATCTACAAGACCAGTATTCTGGATTGAGTGACAGTGCTGCCGGCTTCAGCTGTGGCTCCTCTCACTATCAACACTGTTATTACACAACTTTCTATGAAAACTCCTCTGGAAATGTAAGATGGCCACCGCAGTTTCCACAGGGACAAGCCTTGCTCCCTTGTCCCTCCGACCCGGGTCTGTGATCCCGGGTCACATGACTGTGGCGCGTCCCCTCTGAGCGGCCGCCATCGTAACAAAAGTTTCAAGAGTTTGTTTTTTAGCTGCTGTCGTTAGCTCCGGCTCCTTCCTCTGCGCACTCTTCATTAGCCTCGGCCCTTATGTCCATCTCCATGTGGGCGTGGCTTCCATCCGCTCTTCCCCCCTCGTTAGCAGCATTGGTGTGGTCTTTGTTGGCTAACCTTGCGTATATTTGCTGGTCGATGGCGTTAGCATGGCCTTCCTTATGCTCCTTGTTAGCGTGTTCATTAGCTCCTCCCCTCTCGTGGATCTGCTCGTTGGTGATAGCATCGTTAGCACCATTAACATCATTAGAGACGTCTTCACTCGCTCCTCTTCTGTGGATCTGCTCGCTGGTGTTAGCACCGTTAGCCTCCTCGCTAGCCCCTCTCTTGTGGATCTGCTCGTGTGCTCTCAGGTGGCCGCTCTGGCTGAATGCTTTGCCACAGTGGGTGCAGGCGTACGGACGCTCGCCCGTGTGGATCTGCTGGTGCGCCTTCAGATGTCCGAGACGCCCGAAGCTCTTCCCGCACTGCGTACAGCCGAAGGGGCGCTCTCCAGAGTGGATCTTCTCGTGGGTCTTAAGCACTCCGGCATTGCTGAAGGCCTTTCCGCACTGCGAGCAGCAGAAGGGGCGCTCGCCTGTATGGATGTGCACGTGGTTACGGTAACTGGTCTCCTTGGTGAAGCTCTTGCCGCAGTGCGCGCAGCAGTACGGTCGCTCGCCCGTGTGGCTCAGCTGATGCGCCTTTAGCTCTTTGGACTGGCCAAAGCTCTTCCCTGCGGGGCCAGAAGACACAGGCACAGTTAGGGCTGCAATCAACCATTATTTAGTTGTTTTTAAATAAATGTGACCAGAACAAAGAGACAGTGATGTCCCTCATTAAGAGATGATACTTCATAAACACAGGAACGCACAGAAGAGGACAGAGCTCCTGTGTGGGTCCCTCATGTGAGGGTGTGTGTCTGTCTCTGTGTTGTGTAGGTGTGTTTCTCTGTATATGGGCGACACGGCGGCGCAGTGGTTACAGTGTTCCCCATTTCAGGCAAAAAGGGCAGGGTGGCATATCAGATTTGAAGGGCATTGGCAAACGAAACCTCTGAAAACAGGGGAATACCCAAGATATCATAAGAGCCACACTTTACCTGCATGCGAGGGGTCGGACTACCATTAAATTAACATTGTTTGGATAATTGGATCAAAATAATAATAATATTTTCTAAGCACTGTGTGAACTGTACTTTAAAAATAAAAGTGTCTTGTCTTATACAATAAATATAATGATATAACATATCATTTTACCCATGTTTTCCCCAAATCTGTGTTTGATTTTCTGTTTTGCCTTAAACTGTAAGTAAGTATCTTTATATATCTTTCTTTATATAGCGCCTTTCACAGACCGAGAGTCACAAAGTGCTTTGCAATTGAGGGCATTTGTCTCCTACTCCACACAGAGAGCAAAGTCATCAGTGCAGGAGACGCATTCCAGACCTATTATTTCGATGTAAACAGACTTGTATTCAATTTAAGGATTATGTTATTCAGAAGCTGCAATGATCGCATTTGTCCACTAGAGCTAGTCAGAGCACAGACGCTTTGACACATGAGACAATCTGGCATTAGGGCACTGTTGGTTTCCAGAATGTGCTTAAAACAACCCCAATGACTGTGCATGTGTGTTATCTTTGGACAACAATTTTGTACGACTCCATTGGATTCTACTGCGTTCTCCACATGCTAGAGTTTATTTGGGCTAAATCATAGTTGACATAATGATGACACCAAAACACTGCAGTTGTGGTACTTGTCGTGGTGTGGTATTTATGAAAGCATTAAATACCACACCACGACATCGACAAGTGCAAGACTTTCCCTTGGTGGGACCACAGACTGATAGTCTGTGGGGTTAGCGTGTGAGCCTATTGACCCATCCTAGAAGGTGGCGGTAAATTGGTCGCCAACCGCCGGGAAAAATACCCAAGAAGAAGAAGACGACGACAAGTGCAAGAGGTGATGCTCGTTCTTGTGGTTGGCAGAATTTTTCACAGGAAAATGTAAAAAAAGGACACAAATATGTGTTCCATACACTTTATTGGTGAAGTTGGACCAAGAATGAAGCATCCAGATCAAGTCCCAGCTACGTTTAGCCCTGAGCAAGTGTCATTGTCATGGTCTAGTTTAGCTAATCTTCCTGTGCTGAGTAAACTTTCTTTCCCCATGGTTCCTGCGGAGTCTCAAAATGTTGAAACAGTCTGCTCCTCTAAGGTAACGAGTTATCTGAATAATCACAACTTGGGGACCAGTGGGTTAGTGCTTGTGCTTCAAAGCAAGAAGGTCCTGGGTTCAACTGCGTAGGTTTCCTTCAGGTGCTCCAGTTTCCCCTACCACTAAAAACATCCACACAATAGGTCTGGCATGTGCCTCCAATATAGCGACCATGCTCCCATCTCTGTGTGGAGCGAGAGGACTAATGCCCACAACAAGTGAAAAGCACTTTGTGACTCTGGTCTGTGCGTGTTTTGTATGTGTGTGTGTTTGTGTGTGTCTCTCTTACCGCAGGTGGAACAGAGAAAAGGCCGCTCCCCTGTGTGCAGCCTCTGGTGGGCCCGCAGGTCGTCTGCCTTGGTGAATCCCTTGGGGCAGTGGGCGCACACGTACGGCTTGTGGCCCGTGTGGATCAGCTGGTGCCTCTTCAGGTTGCCCGCCTGACCAAAGCTCTTCCCGCACTGAGAACAGCAGTACGGCCGCTCGCCCGTGTGGATGCGCTGGTGCGTCTTCAGGTTCCCCAGCGTGCTGAAGTTCTTCCCACACTGTGTGCACGAGAACGCCTTCTCTCCCTGGAACACATGCACACGCTGCTGAGCACACGCCGCTGAGCACACGCCGCTGAGCACACGCCGCTGAGCACACGTCGCGGAGCACACGCCGCTGAGCACACGCCGCTGAGCACACGCCGCTGAGCACACGCCGCTGCACAGGGGCATGTGCTCAGCAGCGTTGATAGGCCTCTGCTCTCCGTCTTTTATCTCAGTGTTTACAGTTCTACTACTGCTTTAAAGTTAAACGTGTCTGTTGTTCACACATAGAAGGATCTTAAAGGAGTAAGAGATGACCAGGATGAGAACAGTCCTCATCACAGACCTGCAGCTGTGTTTAGCTCAATCCACTCGTCCCATGCACCTTCTGTTTCTGGTCACATGTTCTTAAAGCTGAGTTCAGTGAGATTGCCCCCTAATGTAGTTACTAAAGCAGAGTGTAATGTCCTGCTTCTACCACCAGAGGGATGCTACTCTTCCTGATCGTCTCTTATTCCATTAATTATGTGCATATCCTCCTGACCTGAACAGGTGTAGGGACAGACATAGGTATTTTATCTGCTTTTATGGTGACGCTGTAAGTAAGTATGGCCTTTGCAACTTACTGAGCACATGCACATGTAGCTGTGCACATGCATCCCCTGATATGCCTGCCTATGTGTGGTGTAGCTACTAGTTACCTGCATGTTCCTCTGCTTCCTGTTGGTGGCGCTCTTCCTCGGTGTGCTCCCGCTCAGAGTCTTCGGAGGCTGCAGATCGTACAGACTCGGCTCGGCGCTGCTCTCTGGCTCCACCTTCAGGCCATCCAGCAGCACTGCGTCTGGGTGGAGCTTGTGCAGTTCGGACCGCAGCTCGGCCATGTGGATCGACTCCAGACTCGGCTCCGAATAATCTGACCGGAACTCGTAATAGCACTGAAGGTCCATCTGCTCGGCTTTCAGGTACTCCAGGGAGTCCGAGACCTGATGGGAGGGGGGAAGGGAGGACGGAGGAGGGTAGGGAGGGACATGTCAAATAAGAGTAAAAGAAAATAAGTGAAAGCGCGAGGCCAGGACCAGAAACCAGAGACACCATAGAGAGACCAGAGAGGGTGACTTTGGTCAAGTCTCTCTCGGGTAATAATAATAATAATAATAATAATAATAATAATAACGCATGTGTTTTACGTCTCTTTTCTAGACACTCAAAGACGCTTCACAGCATATGTCATTCACTCCAAACACTGTGGGGAATCAGTATTGCATCCACAGCTACACCGTGTGGCGGCACAGTTGCGCAGTGGCAGTCGTTTCTTTCTGTGTGGAGTTTGCATGTTCTCCCTGTGTCTGCGTAAGTTTCCTCCGGGTACTCGGGTTTCCCCTATCACTATCTATAACTAGTGTGTGTTCCCAGCGGTCTCTCATCGCAGTAACCAGTCCCTCTCTGGTTTCTCTCTGGGTACTCACGTTGTGACTTTGGAAGACTTATTTTCAAAGTGGAAAGAGGACACAGGTCTAAACAACACTGAGCGCATCATAATCTGGAAGCGTATGGGGAGCTCACCTGGGAGATGTAATCGTAGACAGAGCCGGTCTCATAGTGCGCCTCAGACTTGATGTAGTCCAGGCCGCTAATCTCCATGCGGATCTGATCACGCGCCAGCTCGGCGGTGGACAGCGACTCTAACTCAAGCTCCTCCGGCTCCGTTTTCACACACGACAGCAGGGCGAGCGAGCTGAGTGTGGGCGAAGGCTCCGAAGTCAGGAGGGCGTCCAGCGGAGGCGTGGCCAGGAGGTCAGCATCCAGCTCCAACATGACTGTGCAGACGGAAAGGGAGAGACCAGAGAGAGATAGAGAGACCAGCTAGAGAGGCCAGGGAGAAACTTATTCCATTGTCAAATCTTCAAAATGAATAAAAATCAGTTGCTTTTATCTGTTGTCTTTTATATTTGTGAAGAACTGATTTCAATTCAATTGTGATAACTTGAACAAAAACTAAAAAACAAATACTGGCTCAGAACAATGTAATTCTCATAAAGATCTAAAACAATGTAATAAAAGAGACGAGCCCCCCCTTCTGTGTTCAGTCCCTCCGTATTGCTCTGAGCTCTGCCCCTTTACACCATGTCACTCTAAAGGCCCATGTGTACTTTGTTCTGTAGAGGAGAAAGTAGCTAACAGGACTTTATAATGGGACCCCTTTTGGCGTCGCCATCATGTGGTTGGGATGTGGGAATACAACGTTCTCTTCAAAACTACACACAGGGTAAGCTGAAGTATTTGAACAAGTGTGGCTGTGTAATCAACAACGGGTCCAGCGCAAACGCCAACGCACACAGTGACACCAGAGTATACACAGGCCTTTAACGAGGACTACTACAACTGTGACGTCACAAACCTGCAAGGGGGCGGAGCCTGACGTGACGATCAGTTCACCAGCTGTGATCAGTGTGGTCAGCAGCTCCTGTGGGCAGAGACAGAATGTGAGGAGACCAGAGACAGAACAGAGATAAGAGAGAGACCAGAGTGAGACCAGAGAGACCAGAGAGAGAACATGAAGACCAAAGAGAGATCATCGGATTGTATGCACCTACTGAAGCTTTGAGGTTTCCTTAAAATGTAAATCACAATAAAATAAAATGCATTATGAGTTTTTTCCACACACCCAATTTCACCATTGGAAGTGGCAACCCAAATGTTTTGACATTCACAGAAACAATCTTTTTGAAAGAGCGTAAACCTGTGATCAGGGAATTATGCCAAGATAAGACTATGATTAAGAAGAGTGGACCCCATGGCATTTCCAAACATAGTCTCTTTAATTTATCCACTGTGATTGACATGTTATAATCATCTGTGAAGATAAGATTCCCCACTGTGGGACGAATAAAGGAATTCTTCCTTTATTCGTCCCACAGTGGGGAAATTTCGAATCACACGTATGTTTCAGTCACTGGGTTTAATATTGAAATCTAGTGTTTTTGGCACCGTCTGCAGGTCAAAGCCTGATGCCGGGAGACCTCAGAAATAAGATAAGATAAGATAAGAGACTTTATTGATCTCACAGAGGAGACATGCACATGTCACATCAGGCACAGATAGAATCACTCAAGATTGTGCAAAAGAAAGAAATGTGCAAACATGTTAAATGCAGGATATGTCATGTACAATAAAAAGTGGCAAACAAGAAACAGTGTCAATAGTAGAGCAGGTTTTTCAGTCCTAAGCAGGGCATGGCCTGGGTAATACTGTGATGGGAGACAGTGTCACAGTGGGGGCTGCCATTGTGTCATTTGACAAGAAATTTCACCCACGTTACAATGAGTCTGGTATGTGCATGATTGAGGAGAATTGAGCGGTGTATGGCACAGATTAGTAGCCACGCTCCTGTAAACCCGCCGCCAGGGCAGCTGTGGCTTCTGTAGTGTTTACCATCACAGTGTATGTAGAGAATGAATAATGCTGTAAAGCGTCTTTAAGTGTCATAAAAAGAATAATTATTAAACTGTGTTCATGAAACTCGTTTAACTAAAGTGTAAGGGCCCCACAGGGCCTTTCTCCCAAGCTTCAGGAGCCACTCTCCAGTCGTTTTTAGACCCTCCCCGGTACAAAGCAGGCTCCCTCCCCGGCCCCGAGAGCCTCCATCCCCGGTACAAAGCAGGCTCCCTCCCCGGCCCCAAGAGCCTCCATCCCCGGTTCAAAGCAGGCTCCCTCCCCGGCCGCAAGAGCCTCCATCCCCGGTACAAAGCAGGCTCCCTCCCCGGCCCTTGGAGCCTCCATCCCCGGTACAAAGCAGGCTCCCTCCCCGGCCGCAAGAGCCTCCATCCCCGGTACAAAGCAGGCTCCCTCCCCGGCCGCAAGAGCCTCCATCCCCGGTTCAAAGCAGGCTCCCTCCCCGGCCGCAAGAGCCTCCATCCCCGGTTCAAAGCAGGCTCCCTCCCCGGCCCTTGGAGCCTCCATCCCCGGTACAAAGCAGGCTCCCTCCCCGGCCCCAAGAGCCTCCATCCCCGGTACAAAGCAGGCTCCCTCCCCGGCCCCGAGAGCCTCCATCCCCGGTACAAAGCAGGCTCGTTGCCATCTCTCCTCCGTGACTCCAGTCGCCATCTTGTTTTACAGATGCTACCCGTTAGCATCTTAAGCTAGCGGCCCCAGAGTCCGACAGAGGCGGCCTCAGAGGCACAGAAGCCCGGGAAACAGCGTTCAGGGGCGGGTGGAGGGGTGCTGGTGGTCTGGAACGAGTCATGATGGAGCCCATACCCCGCGGAGGAGTTATTGGCGGCTTCACAGTAGTGGAGGAGCGGGGAGATGCTAGCGGTGTTAGCGGGGAGCCCGGTGTTCTGGTCCCAGATGCACCCCGAGTGTGAAAAACAGAAAATATTCCAAAAACACTGCATTTCAACCGATTATCACAATAATTCAACATCAGAAACATCCACAGCGCGGTGTGGGTTGTAACGGGACACCACTGACTGAACAGAGGCATATTTCTAACACGTTTTTGAGACAGAAGTGTAAAAACAATTTAAACTTAAACCTCAGCCATAATAGAATACAACCAATGTATGTAACTTACCCAATAATAAAGAAAAAACACTAAACAAGACCCTCGACCATGTTCCCCAAATCTTAATCCTGCCTATCAACTGTGATGTCACTTCTTTGATAACTTTAACTTAATCTTTAACTCTTTAAACTCACACTAAGTCCTAATTATGGCCTTATGTTCACACATTAGTGTTTTCTGAGCGCACCGTTACAGCCTCCATCTCTTTGCACAGAGACAGATGTGGACAGATGTGCACGCTCCAAACAGGCCCTGGATCAGTCACAACTGGGATTGTTTTGTTATTGTCAAAAATATATTCATTTTCATGCAGTGAGACGAATCTCCGGTCAGACAGCGGGGAAGAGAGGATCAATACAAGGGTTAGGACAGAACGCTGCAATGATGGATCTGACAGCTGCCGATGGAGGTCCTTTCCCACAGTCTGAGCTCTGAGGCCACGGGTCCCGGTCCTGCCCGAGCTACACAATTTATGCATTTATTACGCGTTTATGAGGCGTTTTGGCGGAGGGACACACGCACGCGCACAGGGGACACGAGCACGCGCGCAGCACCTGGACGCGTGTCTCCGCTTGACTCGGGACTGACGCGCTCCTTTCGCGGCCCCTGGAGGTCTCTCTGCGGTCCGGGCTGCACTGTCGAGACCGCAGAGAGAGGCATCGGCAACGGCGGGGGCGCGATCCGTTATCCCGGTGCATGCACAGCGGTATCATCCTCACACGACTCCCGATGAATACGCGGTGAATGCGCGGTTAATGCACGGGTCTTTTACCTGTTCTTCCCCCGGTTCTTCCCCCGGTTCATGGCGCCTGAAGCCGCTGCTGGTGTCCGCCTCAGCGCCACGTCCACCGGCCTCCGCTCCTCCTACACCGGGCCGCGCTCCTCCTTCACAAGAAAAGGAAGATTTTTTTTGATCAATTCTATTTATATAATGAAACAGATCCGAGCAAAGGGACGAGATGCCGCCAGTCTCCCGAAAATAGGAGATATAGCTCATTAAACTGGACTCTGCTCTTTCCGCTGTCTGCCCCAATGTTGAGTTTGATTCTTTTGATGAATTTCGTGAAATAAAGTGATAAACACGAGCTGACGTCAGAAGGAGACGCTCTCAAACCTCTTCCATCTTCAGTTCTGCACAATTTGCGTGAGGAAATATAGTGAGGTGTGTCTCCATGGTAACGGCCAGGGGCGGAGTGACCAGACCAGCCGGGGTGAAAGTCAGTTTGGGGCCCCACCGTAGAGTGTACACAGATATTATTAATATTTACAGTCTATACAGTCGGACAATGCTAACTCACTAGCTCAATGAAATCCAATAGAGAAGTGCAAAAGAGTAAAAGTAAACTCCTCTAGCTCAGTAACCGTTAGTGTCACAGTCACCTTTTCAGGCTTAAATCTGTGGTTCAGTGCTCTCTTTGACATAAAATTATTGACCAATTCTTATGTGTCCCTGATACAGCACAAAGCTAATGCCATCTGAACAAATGCCCATATAAGGAAAGTGGTTCCAGCTGGCCCATGCTCAAAAAGGCCTCTTCTGCATTAAAGAAGCTATACCCGATTTTTTTTCTAAGTAGTTCATAAAAATGCTTTTTACTACATACAAGTTGTATCATAATACATCATTTAATTGAAAACTTGAGGTAATTGATTCAGCTGTGTAAGAATTACAAGCAGTGAAAAGTGCTGAGTAGAGTCTGAGCGGGCCGCTCTTTCTCCTCCGCTCACAGAACAAGCAGTGACCAGCCTGCGTCCTCTAGCCTCTACAGCGCTGCGGAACACCAGGGCTTCGACTTCAAAATTCGAATATAATTCTAAAATAAAAAATGTGAACAAATCTTAGACAACCCTTGTAATTTGAAATGTATTTAATGACTGCAAATAAAATAGTTAGCTCCCAAAGGTTTCACCGGGACGTGCTAGGCAGGTAACAGCTAAGCTAGCTAGTTGTTTCATGGTAACTTCCGGGTTTTTCGCAATCGCTTTTTGTCACTTTGAAACAGTATTTTTGTCATGAAAACGTTAACAGCAAATTCAGAAATCATCCGTGCATGTGTGTTAAGGATGTATATGTGTACTGTATTGTCCGATTGACGTTTAATGGTGTTGATTGATAGATATGTAGTTGTTTATTGAGCGTGGCTAGCTCCGTTGGCTTCTCTACACAGACAAGTGTATAGTGACAGGCGCTGATAGCTTGTTCTTGCAGAGTAATGGCAGTATTTTACACACCTGAATTACAAACAGAGGTTGCATTGGGGCTTCGGTCATTATTGGTTTGAGAGTTCTGTTATCAAGAAAAAATGATCGGAAGAATTGCTGCTGCTGCTTTGAGGAGCTCTATAACACATTATAATTAAATATTAGAATATATTCTAAGGTTTTAAATTAATACATTCGGACGCGAAACTAGCGGTATTCTTTTACTTATATATTGTGTTAGCAGTGCGTTGCTTTAGTGCCATTTAATCGGTGATTGTTGTACAGCTTACAAGAAGTTGCGCTAATGCTAATGTTAGCATATGTATCAGATCGCAAATAAAACTAGGTGGCTCTGTGTTATGAGAGCGTAGGGGAAATGAGAAGCCATTGAGCGAGTTGGGGGGCGGTGCTAAACATTCAAACATTGCAGCAACGGGTATAGCGCCTTTAAGGCTAACACAAGGGTGATGTCACACTGTGGTAATATCTGAAAAACTCTCTTAAGCCTAGCGTACATCGGACTGGCAACTGATTATATCCGTCGCATATGAGTTGCTGCCCCGCACACATCGACAATCTGACGAAAACGGGCAACTCCTGTAGCAGACCAGTCTTGGGAATAACAGCGCGTACATCGACAGCAACTGGCCGTGTTTTCTGACATAAACTGTTGCGGGCGCACAATACACGCAATACACACACGTTGTTGGAGCGGCGCATAGAGCGCGCACATCGGGTCATATCTCCGAAACTGAGGACAACTAGTTGCCGAAAAGTAGAACACGGGCAACTGACTGAAACTGGAGACCGACTGTTTATCTCCAGTTGTAAGAGCGCTCACATCGACCGATTTCATCTGATCATCTCCATCATCTCCTCTCAGTTGCCAAAAGCCGCCTTGCGGAAACTGTCCCCAGTTTCTCTGTCGATGTACGCTAGGCTTTAGATCTCTTCAATACGTCTCATTAAAGCGGTTTAATAGAGTGGATGAGTGGATCGCACACTCACTTCTCAGCAAGAAGGTCCTGGGTTCAAATCCCGGTTGGAACAGGATCTTTTTGAGTGGAGTTTGCATGTTCTCCCCGTGCCTGCGTAGGTTTCCTCCGGTTTCCCCTACAAAAAAAATGCACACTAGGTTAAATCCTCCAGCTCTGGTCGTGCAGGCGATGTTCACGGACGCTGTTTCTACATCGACAACTGCTCCAGACGTAAGCCTTAGCGGCATCAGGATGGGTCAAATGCAGAGGTTGAATTGCTCTACGGGGATTAATAAAGTGCTCCTTTATTTTGCGTGATAAAATATCTCTGGCATAATAAGCAAGTATAAAATGATGTATATTCTAGTGCAAGAAATATATAGTGTTGCGTCTGGTCATGTTAGCAGCATGAGGTAATCTGAGAGTGGACACAGGTGATTCTATATTGTGCATTCTGATACTGCATGACATGGATGTTTATTGGGGTTGAAAGCCTCCAGAGTGACGTCTGCGGAATCAACCACCATCTCCTTGGTCTTGGTCTGGTCTCAGTGTGGTCTAGGTCTCCGGCTTGGTCTCAGTCCCCGCCAATAAACACACAGGCCGAGTGTTTATGTGTAGGGTGCATATGGGACCCTGTAGCTGTGAGTGGAATGAGACTCGGAGGCCTATGTGTCGTCATGAACATTTAATCCTTTTACATTTGAAAAGTACCAATTTATTCATTTATTGACTCAAAAAACGTCATTTATAAAAACAGAACAATCACCATGGACACGGTCAGAATCATTTGGCAGAATAACGACATTCAGAAAACTCGGAATCTGAGAAGTAGACAGGAATTGTGTGTCATTGACGCACAAACACGTCAATTGCCTTTTCCGCTATTTTCACGTTCCCAGATGTCTATTGTATCTAATATGTATGGGGATGACTTGAGACCATATTTTATCGAGCCAGCAGGTGGCAGCATTTCTCTCTGAATGGTTTGAAAACAGTTAGGTGTACATGTTGTGCCTCTTTTTTCTCAACTTTCTGGTGATTTCAGTAAAACTTCCCTCTACTCGACGGAAGATTACAGGGGAACGAAAAAAGCTATAAACAAAATTCTTTTTGCTGAGGAAAGTAGACAGTCCATTCTTTCAGAATCGGATTTCAGATAGCCATAGTACACAATATTCTGTGGGTCTTTAAAAATCTGTAAAAACCATCAGAAACGGCTGGCAATATGGAAGTACCTGTTCTGAAATGGGCTGGCAGTCAATGAGTTGGAGACACTACGGACTGTATATGCTAACCTGCTGGCTAAATGCTAACCTTCTAGCTCAATGCTAACCTGTGAGCTCCATGAAGCCCACCAAGGCTCAATTATGAAGTTTGGCTCTGACTCACACAGGTCCTATTGACTTACATTTAAAAGTAAACTCTTTTAAATGTAAACACTCACTATTTAGCGCTCTCTGTGATCCTGGTGTTTCTATTGTTAAATTGTCTTTGGTCAATCCTTATATGGCTCAAATATTTACTATCAAGAAACTTTGGCTTTAGCCGTGCGAGACGCACTGGTGCTGCTCCTGATCATCGTTGGTAACTATCAACAAAATGTGTGTAAATTTGGCTCTGTGTGAGTCAGCTCTAATCCTCATGGAGTCTGTGTGAGTCAGCTCTAATCCTCATGGAGTCTGTGTGAGTCAGCTCTAATCCTCATGGAGCCTGTGTGAGTCAGCTCTAATCCTCATGAAGCCAGTGTGAGTTAGCTCTAATCCTCATGAAGCCAGTGTGAGTTAGCTCTAATCCTCATGGAGCCAGTGTGAGTCAGCTCTAATCAGCTTCTTCCGCATTGGGTCTAACACGTCAGCTCTCGGTCAGTCCACTGCTGATCTACGGTGGTCCATACACAGTCAGTGTCAGCGTCTCCTCTAAGATCTTGTGATATTCAGAATGGTGTGAGTTTGCCCTAAAACATAAACATGTGTCTGCACATGTCGGATCTGAAATACAAATAGAGCCCACACTGGTCTATACAAGTATTGCATCTAATCCGATAAAACACTGAGATGCTTTGTACAAAACATTAAACATGAAACAGGAACCACTTCACAAACTGCCCCATGTTCAGAGCTCAGTGGGTTTAAAGTTGAGGAACCAGAAGTGGAAGAAAAGCGGCTCTACTCCAAGCTCCCTTCGTGACTCAAATCCTCTCCACAGACAATGGAGGAAACTCCATTGTCCGCTTGTGTTCTCCATCTGGTCCTTTGGGGCCTTCCCCAAAGCTCATGACCAGAGGAGAAGACAGTCAGTATTCTGACGGGATCACTACAGACACTTCACCAGGACCTGGAGAAGACCAGGACCTGGAGAAGACGTGGTCTCTTTCTGGTCCAGAACCAGAGCCAGGTTCCTCAGCTTTAATAGTGAATGAGCAATCTGCCATTTTGTGGTAAAGGGTGATATGTTTTTGTTTTCATCTAATGGTTTCCT